CCTATATTAACCGCAAGGTAAAGCATGTTTGCTTTAAAAAAAAAAAAAAAAAAAAATCTTTCCTTGAGATTCGCGATACACTAGAATTTCTCACAAGTGGGGCCAGGAAAATACATACAAAAAGCCAGCTACAACAGCACAGGTATAATATGCCCATTTGCTACCCCACGTAACTTCATTGCAGGTTTGTGCCTTAAATCAAGCAGCCAGGCTAAATCTTGGTAAAATTACAGAACCAGCAGCAGCAAGACAAGACTTACCTGCAGAAACCTACGTCTTCTCATAAAACTCCCACTAAAGTTCTATTTGGGAAATTTAAAACAGACTTCAACTTTGACAATTAAGTGTGACCTTTTGAGAGTGGGCTTATTCCTCGCCATGGAAAAGCAAAATTTGGAGTTGCTTAGTTGTCAACTTCACAATCACTGTATTTCTTGTGGAGAAACTGCAGCTTCTATTAGAATTACTGATACTTGGGACCTAATGTGGGTATTTGAGAAAACAGTAACCACCTTTCCAGAAAACACATCATCTGAGAACCACACAAACCACATTCTTCATGGGTTGCTCTGATCTGGTGTGTTCAAGATGAGTGATTTCCAGCTTTTGAAAGGTGTCAGGAGCTCCACATGCTTGGGTTTTTTTTTCCTTCCTCAGATGGACTAAGAGGTCTTAAACTGGGCACACAGTAATCCAGCTCTAAGCAGTGTTTATTTAAAACCTGTCTCTTCTCTTTCAGCAAAGGCTCTAAAGTAGTTGGATCTATCTGCTTAACACTTGCCAAAAGATCAATATGGCTTTTGGGATACCTAAAGGAAATTTCCTTGTGAATAGTAAAAACATTTGTGACAGCGGGAAGCATTGCTGCCTGCTTCCAGCTCTGCAGAAGACACAGCTAATGATGGAAACACAAAAGGACACTTAGCAAAAGCAATCAATGAGAAGCCTAAGAAAAAGGCAATCTCACGGCATTGTCCGGTATTAGGAGCTGCAATTTCTCCACGAGGAATCAAACACAGCTGACAGTACTCACTTCTGCAAGTTTTGGGCTTCAATGCATGATACAAGTGGAAAATGAGCCTTTTAAGAGACTAACGAGCTATGAGTAGATGGGAAGCCAACCCAGGCCTGGATTACTGACATATTATGGAAACAGTTACTGTGTCTGCTGTGCAGCTGAATATTGTCACATAAATATCAGGTACACAAGATACTTCAATTGCAGAACAAGAGGTTCCAGCGATTTTATCTCCTTCTTACTCTGCTGTTAACAACGTGATTTACGACCCGATCAAACATCAGACAGCACATGACACTGTTAAAACAAGATTTTAAAAATAATTTCTACGCATTTTGAAAGACACCAAGAGAAGTCAGGCTTGGCATTGCAGTCCAAGGAGCCACACGGGTGCAGAGCCTAGGGAGACCTTTCCGACACCTGCCTTTTTCAACACAGGCAAGTTCTCCTCTGGCCTTATTCACTAATTAAAAGTCAGATCCTGGCTCGGAGAAGAGGTGCTCAGCCCTTGGAGCCAAGCGGTGAGTCACAGTGGCAGTTAAATATGCCCGGCATCTCTAATGACTCATGGGGTCAGGTGAGAGAAGCAAAATGATGGGGAGCAGCAATTCTCATTTGCAGGTGTATTTTACACCTTCTTGGTTCATTGTCCTCACAAAAGAGCAAAGGCAGCCACAATCAAGTCAACGCTTTGGCTTGATGGGAACAACCCCAGAGAAAGATGTATTTCTCCAGTGTACAAAAAGAAAAATCTGTCTTACAGTGATTCTTTAGACGTTATTACAAATCTCCTCCTAAAGAAGGGAAGCTTATCACCAAGTCCACAACCTTGCTTGGTAGGCATCCAGAAGTACACTGAAATCTCCTAAGTAGTGTTCTCAGCAGATAAAAATTAAAACTTCTCAGTCTTGTTGCACACTCTACAAAACAAAGATCCCCCCTGGCTCTGCAATTCTTTACTCATTCCTCGGCCAACTTACTTCTCAAGCATACCAAAGCACCTCAGGCAAAGACTTCTGTCTGAATAGTCTAAAAAGGGTTTATTACCTCAATAGGGAGGTGCTACAGAAATACTAAACACCAGCAACACTTTCTCAGGGAATTAATTTCCTTCCTCTACTTGCAACAGATTTGCTGTGAAAGCCCAGCAGCCCCTCTGTTTATCTTTTTTAAAAATCATTTGGTAAGTTCATGTATGTAAATACAATCACTTCTACACTTGTGTCCTGTTCATGCACCCATAAAAAGCAAAATCTTAACTCATTTCAGGTCCACTCAAGCAAAAAGGATCTCCTACACGCTTTATAAATCAAGGTATAAAGGGATTTCTTCACACCCCCCTAGGTCAGCTGCCCAGTTTACCTGGAAATAGTTTCGAGCAGCAGCCTAGCTTAGATGCTCTGAGCCATCCCATGAAGATCCTGCTGTCTCCACTGACTATAAAGCCACAGTTTCAGACTCATTCATTCGGCAGCAGCTGGCTAGAGCAGTGCCCCACTTCCCCAAAACAGATCATTCCCAGTCCCACATTATTTCTCATACAGGCACTGCTGGGTCTGCAGCTTTGTGATTTACCACGCAGCTGGATTTACCGTAAGACTCTGTATCTGCAAGAAAGCCAGAAGCCAACTCAGAATATCAGCTGGAGTCCAAGGGCCAACACAGTTTGAGGACTTATTTCTTTAGTCAGACTTGCAGTGCGGGTTCCTGGTTAGGAACAGTGTATTACCTTCATGGCAGGCTACGGTCATACTGTACTGGTTGAAACTGCACAGAGTCACATCCTTTTTATCAGATTAACTGGGACCAGAAGCTGCAGCAGGCTGATCAAGACAAAGTACTATATGAAGAAAATTCAAAATTACATCACGAGGAGGATGCCAGATTGATGAACCCTTCAGTGCTGCACGATTCAGACTGTGTAGGTCAGCATATCCCTATCACTGGAAAGACAGCACTGGACATAGACAAAGAGCTCAAGTTTAGGGCAAAGTAAAGAAATGACTGGATGAAAGGGGAAAAAACTGTGTTCACAGTCAGGTGGACTGTAGCCTATACAGATAGATGATCCACTGGCTTAATCAAAGGTCATGCTCAGAAGGACTTTTAAGAAAGTATCCTAGCTGAAGGTCTTTTTCCCCATTAGGGAATCACTGTACAGAATCTAAATTTAAATAAAGATTTGCACAAGGAAGAAAAATTTCAAGGCTACCATAATCCTATTCAAATTAAGAGGTGAGAGGGACCAGATCCCAAGTTACTGCTGAATGCAGTGCCCACAATTTAAAACAAGTAAAATACTGTTAGTATTCCCCATGTAGCATGGCCTCTGTTGACGGGAGCAGTGAGGGAGAAGGGCTGAATCCTCATGTACAAAGAGAAATAAATTCACCCTTGAACACTTATATCAAATGTCATTGACCATCTCAAAACAGTACTGCAGTGACACAGTACAACAGCTAAACGCAAGAAACACAAAAAGTAAAAGGTCTGATTCATCTTGAACCCGATTTTCTCGCCTCTAAAATAATTTAGGAAGTGCAACTTGAATAACTCCCACATACCTCCATTTACTACGCATTTAACATGAATTTTAGGTTAAAAATATAAACCTTTATTTATCTGCTGGAAAAATCCACACATTGTTAGTGCAGGTTTTCTCACATTGCTTGATCTGCCTGCTTGCAAGGCAGTACACTGGTGTCAGAGTCACTTTGTTTTTGCATGCACTTAAAATTATCTGGTCACACGGTCTGTATCGTAAATAGTTTCCTCAATAATCTGCACAGCAAAGGACAGGCTACTCAAAAAACAATTTTAGGACCAATAAAATTAGCTAGACACCTGCAGAAAAAAAAAAAAAAGGAATAACCACATCCTGAACCACCTGACATACGTACTAAGCACAGCTCTGATGTGAATAGACAACCGGCAAACACAACCCTTCTTTCATAATGAGCTGTGTCCTTCAGTGCTCACAACCAGGGCACTAGAGCAAAAGAAAAGCAATTCTTTTCCCAACTTGTTCATTATTTTATCTTAATAAAATCCACTTGGAAAGAGCAACACTGCACTTTTTGTCTGGTCTTTGAATGACAAGGAAAAAAACCCAAAGAAAACCAGGAGAAGCGTTTGCTGCCCTCCAGAGGAAAACCAAATGAAATGACAGATTTAAAATACGAAGGTAGACATGAAGCTAGGCAAGGGCTAGTCCTACTAAGTTTTAAAACCACTTTCTTTAGTAGATGATAAAGGTATAAAGGAAAATCCACTGCACTGAACGATGACAAGGTAGCAAACCAAAACTGTCAGTAGGGATGCTTGCCTAGTAGTAACAGCTCCAAAACATCAAATCTCTCATTTCTCTCCTCAGTTTTATACTACAAAATGTACCGAAAAGTTATGTATGTAAGGACCCAAAGCACATATAAATAAATCAGCCCTTGATTTTCAGTTCATCAACTGTAAAATGAGGAGAAGAGGAGCATCTCCCCGTCACACCGCAATACTGCAAGGGTAACTGCGTTTGAGACTGCAAGGGGCTCGGAGCTCCTGAGCGCTGACGCTCTCGGGGGTGAGTCATCCCTTATGGGAGCTGACGTCTGGCCTCCCTCCAAGGCAGGATCAGTTCCCCTTCCCAGCTAAAGGAAATAAATCCCATGGCAATGTGATTCGTCACAACTCCAAATCAAGGTGATGAGGCATAAAAGGTAGAAGTCCAGATGGAATGCCAAGAAATTAGACAAAGCTTAGAATTTCCTACATGAGAAAACAGATAAATCATGGCCCTATCTTCTGCAAGTGCTATGCAGTACACAGAACAACACTGCAAGCTGAGCTATAAATATTCTGTGCCTAAACACATATTTGGATAAACATTGCCTTTCCAAAAAAATAAAAGTTTGTCTTCAGTATTTTCTGTTCTTACACCCTTTAAAGAACACTTCTAAACAATTACATGAGGGAAAACCAAGATGCTCACCTGACAGCCTCTGCTACGTTATTGGAAGTGTGACCCGATAAAGCATCATGAAGGTTTCTGATGAAGTAATCTCTGTAGTCTTCAGGCAGGGCCATGAATGTTCCACCCATCACAATAAACTCTACTTTATCCACACTGTGGCCCAGCTGCTTCAGCTGTAAAATTAAAAGTACCAGGGAAAAATGATCAATCAGGGACTTCTCTAAAAGACTTCTCTGAAAACCTTGACATTCTTATACTGCATTTGCTCCTTTAGTTGTCATATCCTTTATGAATGACAAACCATTAATACTTTTGTACAGATTTCTTATACACACCTCCTCCCACCCTACCCCCCCAAAAAAAACAACACTCAAAAGTTATTTTTCTACTGCAAGAACACAGTACAGACAGAGTCCAGTGTAGGAGGTTTTCTTGACAGAGTTATTCGAGCCTAACATCCTACTGATGGAGTTACACTGGCTCCTGTTTGAAGCTAGCTTAGTTAAGGCCAGTAGGTAAAGTTTCCTCACACTTACTTCAATCCATATAAAACTAACTTCCTTACAAACTTCTGAGAGAAAAGGACTACAGTGAATCCGTGAAGAATTTTCCAGTGGATTTGGAGATAAACAGGAAACCAGGCAAAGCAGAACAGGATTGCAAAACTCTTCTAATTTTAGTAGGAAAGCCACTATTTGAGTACTAAATCCCCCACGTAAGTAATTATCAAGAACTAGCACCTGCCATAGAAGTTCAGTACAATTTTTTTGTAATAAGATCTCCTATTAGTACTCAGGTGTTGTTCAGAACAGACAAAAATCTTCAAGAGGTTCAAAACTTGTCATTTATCTAATGGAAATGACAGTTTGACAATTAAAATGTCTGAAAATAATTTTTCTATGGGGATCAAGTCAGGATAATGTAGAATTATAAAATAATGCAAAAGCTGAGGTGGGAAGGGACCTCTGGAGAACACCTAGCTGAACCTCTCTTCTCAGAGCAGCACCACAGTAGTTTGTTCGGCGCTGTGTCCAAACAGGCTTGTGTGTCTCAAAGGATGGAGACTGCTCAACCTCTCTGGGCAACCCGCTCAGTTTCCTGATATTCAAATGGAATTTCTCATGTTTCAATTTGCACCCATTTCATCATGTCCTGTCCTGTCACCGGGCACCACTGAGAAGAGCCTGGCCTGTCTTCTTTAAAGCCTACCACCGCATACTTAAGACTCGTTGGTAGGATTCCCCCAAGCCTTCCCTTCCCCAGCCTAAAGTCTTGGTTCTCCCAGCTCCTCTTCAGATCCTCCAGTCCCTTCATCATCTTAGTGGCCTTCTGCTAGACTTCTTCCAGTACATTCACGCCTGTCTTCTTCTGGGGAGCCCAGAACTGGACGCAGCTCTCCAGTTGCAGCCACAGCAGTGCTGAGGCCAGAGGAAGGATCCCCTCCCTTGACGTGTTGCAACACTCCTCCTAATGCAGCCCAGGAGGCTGCTGGCTGCCTTTGCCTCAGATGTTGCTCATGGTCAACTTGGTGTCCACCAGTACCCCCAGGTGCTTTTCTGTCAAGCTGCTTTCCAGCTGGTTTGCCCCCAGCATGTACTAGTGCCTGGTGGTGTTCCTACCCAGAAGCAGGACTTGGCATTTCCCTCTGTTCAACTTCAGGAGGTTCCTGCCGACCCATTTCTCCAGCTTGTCCAAGTCTCTCTAAATGGCAGCACGATCCTCTGATCCCCCATCCACTCCTCCCAATTCTGTATCATCCACAAACCTGCTGACAGTGTGCTGTCCCAGCATCCAGGTGGTTCACAGAGAGGTTAAACACTCTTGGCCCCAATATTGACAGGTGGGTTATATCACCAGATTGGCCTCCAGCTGGACTTAGTGCTGCTGATCACGACCCTTTCAAGCCCACCAGTTCAGGCAATTAAAAGCATTCTCATTATTTTCATCACAATCCCAATATATTCTCCTCTCACTGTAAAAATTTACCTGTTCCACCCTGTGTCTTGTCTGGAGATAAGGGTCATATCTAGCCCGAATGGCCCTCATGGATGTTGGCTAAAAAAAAAAACAAGGAGAATAATTTTATAAACATTTTTTTAAAAAGAACATACTGAAAAAGAACAAAAGACAACTTTTAGCATTGAAACAGATGTTTAAGTCTTCACATCCTAACTGACCCTAAAAATCAAACTTACAACCAAAGAGTCCACCCAACTGTAAATATTAATTTGGCTCCTTAAATTTTGAAAAATTTTAACAAAACACATTGTTGTCCCGAGATGATAACGACATAAAAGGATGACACAATTTTTCAAATTTTTAGTGCATTACAACAGGATAAAGAATTGTTGCAGTGAGTCACAAAAAATATTGCAAAAAAATCACAAAGAAAATGGTTTTCAAAATACCATTTTTTCTGTCCCATTTATTTTAGTTTCTCTCCACTTGCACAACAGTCATCCAAGCAGCATCCTCTAGAGCTCAGTCTAAATGTCAAATATTCTTTAAGCTAAATATATTCTTTCAATTGAAAGCTCTAACAACTTACTTTTTATATTACTAGCTGATGTAAGCCTATTAATAATACTCTAAGATAAGGTTTCCAAATACCTTGTGTATCCTGGATTTGTTTGGTATTTCAAATCTGTTGTATTAAAAGCTCTAACGGATGAGGACTCTTTTACTCATGCACAACTCCCACATGCTGTTAGTACTGAACAAATTAATTCAACGTATCCAAAACAACATGAATTATACCACAGTTACATATACACAGGATTTGCCTACTTTGCGCTAACAGGACAAGTTTCAAGTCACTGAGAAGTGGGTAAGAACATACAAAATCCGTACTAAAAGGATGCTGCATCACTGTTGACCAAATTAATCCAGTTTGTATTTTTACTTCATTTCGCTACTTTACATCTGTACTATAGCTATAAGTTGTTTTGTTAAAACCAGTCAAAATAATTTAGTCACAACAAGATCTGCTGTTAAACTTTCCCCAGACAACAGGAGAGCACTGTTTCAGAACCACATATACATTTAGGGAGATATCACTGCAGATAGAGACATAAAAAGACATTAATGTAATTTCAGAGGCACTAACAGCTAAATAATAGTCTTCTTCCAGAGCTTGACCTTTGCTGATCTGCAGGGTCCTGAATGGTTGGACAGACCTGAAAGAGGTCCAGTTAGGACAGGGTGCTCAGGGCTGTGTCCAGTCAGCGTTTATTATCTCTAAGACTAGAGATCCTCTTTAAGAACAGAGATCTCAAAATCTCTCTAGATCCCTACTCAAGTGCCTGACAACTCTCATGTTAAAACATTATTTTCTTACATTAAGGCACAGTTTTCCACATTCTAACTCATGCCTGATGCCTCTCATCTTTCTGCTGGGCAGCTCTGAGGAGTCTGGCTCTGCCTTCTCTACACCTTTCCCTTAAACCGATACTGAGCCAGAAGTAAAACTTTATGTTTCTGCTGGACTGTTTAGTTTTTAGTTTCATTCTGACACAGATCCCTAACTCCTGTAAGCAATCACAGCTAGCACTCATTTCAACAAACTGCACGCAGCAGTGTCCCCCATGGGAGACAGCAGTGTCACCTTCAGCTGCTCTCACTCACTCACCGCTATCCACAGCTGGAGATGCAGATTAACAGCTGCTCCCACACCAGCAGTGTGGTACATGGGGTACAGCCACGATGCTGCACTGCCCTGCTCAGAACCGCAGGCTGATCGCTCCTGCTCTAGCACCTATCACACATGTAACACTATAAACAGCAGCAAAGTGAGGAGAAAGAAACAACTGCTACAAAAATTGAGAAGAGTTTCCAGTCCTATGGTTGAGCTGCTTTAGGTCTCGAAGTTTATCAGCTCTGCTTTTGTTTTTTATGCTTGCAACATGAGTGAATTTGTAGAAATAAAGAGCAGCCTAACCCATGTTTACAGAGTATGGAGGTCATGCGCTATGGCAGACCAAATAATACCTCATATCCAGTGTAAGACTGTGTGGAATATTCAAAATCAGAATCAGGTCCACCTGGGCAGTATCTGCAAATATCAAAAGACAGAAAACAGGCATCAAACTCAATTGCAAGCGATGGGGTACATAGGAGGGTGCAGGCTGAGCAGACATTGCTCTGATTACCCCACCTCTCATCAGAAATGTGGGGGAATAAAAATTCAAGACAATCCGACCACAGCAACATGCTGACCGCTCTCGTGGCACTTGGGAATTCTCGTATAGGCAAAAACAAACCCACAAAAGCAAATTTTTGGTTGGAATTCTCGTATAGGCAAAAACAAAACCCACCTTAATGCTGCAATACAGCTTCCAGATGAAAGCCAGCTCACGAGTACTCAGCTCAGAGCATGGGATGAATGAATAAATGAAAATGAATGAATAAATCAATGAACGAATGAATTCCCCTGTTTCTGCATCACCCGATGTAAATATAGGTACAGAGCCAAACACACATGCTGGAGAGAGGGATTCTGTGATATCCAGTAACACTGAGAGGAACCGCACCTACATATGTTCACTAACGCTAAGTATACAGTGCAAAACAGTTGTTTCATTTATTTTTAATGAGAATGGGATGTCAAAAAACTGTTCTGACCTGTCAAATGACTACATGCACATAAACCAACTTGGTAAGACTCACTAGAAGCAAGATGTTTTGTGAACGTATTTCTGAAACAGGGCGTTAATTTAGGGAGTTGCCATACAGTTCTGGAGTAATACACACAGATTTTTAAAAGTAATTTTACAATCATAAACAATTCAAATATTTTTCACCATTCTATCAAGAACATAGCCTTATTTGACGTAAAATATCATTTTTGTTTGGCGTGGAAAGATATGAAATAGAGATATCATCCTATTACACAATCTACATTTATTTTTCCAGAAATTTATGGAATATGAGTATCTTGATGGTGAGAAAACTCATTTACATTTGTTTTCTGAACTTAGAAATATGCTATTTAATTAATAAAGCATTCTCAGACCACTTCAAAAGAATATAGTCCATCTACTCCAAATAACAAGGAAGGGGAACGTGAAGCTGAAGGGCAGCCTTGGCTGCTGTGACTGTGAAATGGTGGAGTTGAAGATCCTTCAGGCAGCGAGGAGGGTGCACAGCAAGCTCGCTACCCTGGACTGCAGGAGAGCTGACTTTGGCCTCTTCAGAAATCTGCTTGGCACAGGACTATGGGATAAAGCCCTGCAGTGAAGAGGGGCCCAAGAAAGCTGGTTGATATTCAAGGATCACCTCCCTCCAAGCTCAGGAGCGATGCATCCTGACAAAAAGGAAAGTCAGGTAAGAACACAGGGAGGCCGCATGGATGGACAACGAGCTCCTGAACAAGCTCAAACACAAAAAGGAAGCCTACAGAGGGTGGAAGCAAGGACAGGGAGACTGAGAGGAATAGAGAGAAACTGTCCGAGCAGCCAGGGATCAGGTTAGGAAAGTCAAAGCCCTGACAGAATTAAGTCTGGCTGGGGACGTCAAGGGCAACAAGAAAAGCTTCTGTAGGTATGTCAGTAAGTAAATGAAGACTAAAGAAAATGTGGGCCCTCTCCAGAAGGAAACAGGAGACCTGGTTACCCAAGATAATGAGAAGGCCGAGGTACTCAGTGAATTCTTTGCCTCAGTCTTCACCAGCAAGTGCTCCAGTCACACTGCCCAAGCTGCAGAAGGCAAAGATGAGGACTGAGAGAATGAAGAACCACTGCAGGAAAAGATGAGGTTCAAGACCATCCAAGGAACCTGAAGGTGCACAAGTCCATGGGACTTGATGAGATGCATCTGTGAGTCCTGAGAGAACTGGGAGATGAAGTGCCTAAGCCACTATACATCATATTTGAGAAGTCATGGCAGTCTGGTGAAGCTCCTGCTGACTGGAAAAGGGGAAACATAATCCCCCCTTTTTAAAAAAGGGGGAAAAGGAAGACCTGCGGAATTATAAGCCAGTCAGTGTCACCTCTGTGTTTGGCAAGATCATGGAGTGGATCCTCCTGGAAACTGTGACAGGGTACATAGAAAATAAAGTGGTAAGTGGTGCCAACCAGCTTGGCTTCAGTAAAGGCAAATCATGCCTGACAAATTTGGTGGCTGGCTACGAAGGGGTTACAGTGTTGGGGGATAAGGGAAGAGCAACCGAAATCATCTACCTGGACTTGTGCAAAGCATTTGCCACTGTCCCACCTGACATCGTTGTCTCTAAACTGGAGAGACGGGTGTTGGATGGACGGACCATGGGGGGGGGTAAGGAACTGGCTGGGTGGTCGCACTCAAAGAGCTGTGGTCAACGGCTCGATGGCCAAGTGGAGAGCGGTGACGAGAGGCGTTCCTCGGGGGTCACGGCCGGGCCCGGTGCTCTTTAACCACTTTGTTGGTGCCATGGACAGTGGGATCGATGCACCCTCAGCAAGTTCACCCACGACCCCGAGCTGTGTGGGGCGGGGACACGCGGGAGGGCAGGGATGGCATCCAGAGGGACCTGGGCAGGCTGGAGAGGGGGGACTGGGCAAACCTCATGGAGTTCAACAAGGGCAAGGGCAAGGTCCTGCCCGTGGGTCGGGGCAACCCCAGCACAAATCCAGGCTGGGCGAGGAGTGGCTGGGGAGCAGCCCCGAGGAGAGGGACTGGGGGTGCTGGTGGGGGGAAAACTACGACCCAACAATGTGCGCTCGCAGCCAAGAAAGCCACCCGTGCCCTGGGCTGCAGCCAAAGCAGGGGGGGCAGCAGGGCCAGGGAGGGGATTCTCCCCCTCTGCTCCGCTCTGGGGAGACCCCCCTGCAGTGCTGGGGCCAGCTCGGGGGCCCCCAACAGCAGAAGGACACGGAGCTGCTCGAGCGGGGCCAGAGGAGGCCACGAAGATGCTGGGGGGGCTGGAGCAGCTCCCCTGGGGGGCCGGGCTGAGAGAGTTGGGGGGGTTCAGCCTGGAGAAGAGAAGGCTCCGGGGGGACCTTCGAGCAGCTTCCCAGGGCTTAAAGGGGGGACAGGGAAGGTGGGGGGGGACTCTTGGTCAGGGGGTGTGGGGGTAGGACGAGGGGGGACGGATTTAAACTGACAGAGGGGAGGTTTAGATGAGATCTAAGGACAAAATTCTTCCCTGTGCAGGGGGTGAGGCGCTGGCCCAGGGTGCCCAGAGCAGCTGTGGCTGCCCCCTCCCTGGAAGGGTTCAAGGCCAGGTTGGACGGGGCTGGGAGCCCCCTGGGCTGGGGGAAGGGGGCCCTGCCCGGGGCAGGGGGTGGCACTGGATGGTCTTTAAGGACCCTTCCAACACAAACCAGTCTGTGATTCTACACCTGTATGGCAGTTTGGTATTAAATTACAGTTTCTTCATCTAGAGGCTAGCTTGAAACTCTTATTATGTGACAGAGCAAGACGGACTTGTGGCTATCACAGAATGACTGCTGGCCAGGAGAGGAACGGTACACAGCAGATAGTAACTGAAAGGAACTTAAATGTATTCCTAAGGGTCCTTAGCTTTCTTTTGAGGTCTGTGGGATTAATGACCAGTCCACAGCAATCCTGTGCTCAAAGATGTCCTGAGAGAGGAGGGTTGACAACCCCTTCTACTTTAGCTGCAGGCACTGAGCACTCCAACAGAAAAGGTAACGGAGCAGTCAGTGTATTAATACTTATGTTGCAGATCTCAAATGCACAGACACCAAGATAATGCCATCTCTATCAAATTAGACACATTCCGTTCACAGTATAATTGATTAGTTTCCTCACTGCCTGCCCTGCAAACTCAACCCAAGTCATCTGTCACCATTATAAAATTAATTACCAAATTACCGTGGCCAAGTTAATTTGCTGGCAAAAGTTGAGAAAACCAATTGAAGACATTTCATATACATAATTACCTGGGACATTTCAAACAGAATAGCTGCTCATGCGAAAACAAGAACTCAGCCAGCTCTCTGTTAGGCAGCTGGTCCTGAAACACACTGATGTTTCAGGAGTGACAAGGTGAGAAAGAGAAGCAATGTTTTGAAATAGATGGGCTAACATGCTTAGGGAAAAAAAAAAAACAAAAAACAAAAAACAACAAAACAGACAAGAGTTCAGGTGTACACTCTTAAGTCAAAAGAGGTAACACACTTCAAGGTAAACCCAGCTTGGGTTCCTCAATTCAAATAAAACTCAGAATCTACTTCCCTAACGCCACAAGCCCTTGGCAGTTGGAGGCCTTCCCTTCCACCTGCACTCTCATTTCACTCCAGAGCCAGCCTGTCACATCGAGCAAGTTTTTCAAACACCACCTGCACCTCCTCAGGTGGATCTCAGTTCAGCAGTTTTCAAACTTTTCAGATGGAGCCCTTTTTCTTTTCTGTGATAGTCTTCTCCAACCTGCTTACGTACCCAGTCACGTGCACAACACAACTGCGCACTCTAACACAGTAATACAACTCACATTTGATCATTAATCAATATTATTGATTAGTATATTCACAAAATTGTCTATTAACTTAAGTAGGGTTGGCCCGTGAAAGCAAAAGGTTCCTCCCTGAAGAAAAACTGAAAACAAGCAGACTTTTTAGTGTAAATGTGCAGGCATCAGCAATCTGCAACTTTGTGCTTGTGCAGAAAGTAAGCCTGTCCCCAATACAGTGCTACTGCAGTGCTAGATTTATACGGAAATACTGGAGAAGAGTCCTCTTATTTCATCTCAGTTGTCATACTTACACACATATGTTGCCTGTAAAGTTAATGTGTGGACACCTGTGTGGTTTACACATCACAGCCACGACAGCGATCTGTAAGAAGCAAAGTTACAGAGGAGAGAAATTGTAGTAGCTGCTTCTGAAGTTACTAAAATAAATTGCATCTTGGAAGGCTATGCATACATGTGTATCTGCGAGAGACTATTTAAAGATGTTTTCTGCTTAGTCTGCCACTTAGAATAACTGTGGGTTAACTCTTGAAGGAGATTAAAAAAAAATATCAAGAAATAGGAAACCTATTACTTAGTATTTTCACAATTCAGAGTAAACTGGCAGTCTAGTATAAAGAACCAGGTGTCTCATACGAAATGTGATTAAACACCCTGCTGAAAAGACACACACAGACATTCAGTATTCACTAGAACGATGCAACATGCATTGAAAACAGTGCAAGGGTGAGAGTGTGCCACCAAACGCCACCTGGAAGATGAAAATGAGGAAGAGATGAAGAGAAACAAAAAGATATAAGCCAAAGATAATAGGAATAGCTGACTCCCTCCAAGTAACTAAGCCAAGCTTTTTCTCCCCAGCTGAGCTCACAACTGCTTGTCCTACACTAAACATAAGCATAATATAAGATGCTGTCTTCTTTTGTAAAAAGGACCAGAGGGAAGAAGAGATGGACACACCAAGATTTTCTAGTGTCCAGTAATTTGGGGCACCCAACACTGAGTACCTAATTTCCATTTTTCAGAAATCCTAGTTGGAGTAAGAGATTAATGACATATTCTATAGCCAAAAAAACAAAGAAATTAAAGAAATTAAGCACATTTTTTGGGGGTGGGTTTTTTTTTGTGGTTCATTTGGCAGTTTTTTAGGTTTGTTTTGTTGTTATAAAAATTGAACATTTCTTGGATTTTGGTTTCTGAGGCTTGGGGCTTTTTGTTTGGGTTTTTGTTGTTATTGTTTGGGGTTTTTTTTTTTTGTTAACTTGACTTTAGGCACAGTATACATACAGTAGGGAAGCTTAAAACTCTATTACTGTTTTCAGCCTGAACTACCTTTCTAAGAAGCATGATAAATACTAACATTTTTACCTTTGTTCACTGAGAGGCCCTGCAGATTAAGCTGCACTGTTTCTACAGCAACTAAAAAACAAGCCATGCTGCTCTGAAACAACATCTCCACAGCTCCTCTTTCTCTTCTCCCAAATGTTTTGAAAGCAATAGCCCCATAGCCACAACATCACAGAAAAGGCAGCCTGGGAGCTAGTAATGCAGCCAGTGCATCTCTATTAAAGCTTCTGGAATTCGATATCCTAGTCTTCGAAAACAACTAAATACAATTTATTGATGAGGGCAGGGGAGGAGGGTGGTGGATGGAGAGAATGAGGCACGTGCTTACCCCGCTAGCGGTCCTTATAGGCTTGGCCTTCAGCTTTGGTACCAGCACCTTGCGGTACTGCGGCGGGACGGCAGCGATGATGTCGACCAAGCGGGGCTGCGCGGAAAGCCCGTACTTGGCCGACGTCTTGGTTTTCAGCCTGAAAGCACAAATACCTTAAATTAACAGCTCCACTCTGCCTCGCATACCCACATCCCACAGCAGTGCTATCACGTTATTGTTCAGTTACAGGGAGATCTAAGGAGGTTCTCCCAATTTGTCTTTCCAGCTAACTTATTTAAGAAGCATACAGTAATTGCTTGTAACAGCTGCATTATGTATTAAGATACTGAAAATAAACTCCAAATAAAATTGATATGCAACAACTGCCAATGTCTTTAGTTTCTGTGTATTTTTCTTCTAAATACAGTTTTATTAAAACATTGAGAAAGCTGCCCACTCTGGATTACACATTTTGAGTGATTCAATTATTTTCATATCTTCCATGCGAACTAACCCTTACACGCACAAACTCTAGCTGAGTTAATTTCTAAGACATTCATGTCAGTTATTTCCAGCATCAGCAAAAAGTTTGCAATTACATCATGTGAATGAAACAGAAACAGTGGGAAAAATTCAAGTTTTATTATTCCGCATGTGTAAAGAAAGAAGAACTTTCTGAAAACCACAACTTCATTTATATCACATTGCTAAGAAAGTTGGATTTAAACTTTATCCCTAAATTATTCTCTCCTTTCCCTGGTGGAACTGACTTTGGGACTACTAAAAGATGAACACAGGTGGAAACACAAAAAGGCAATGACAAGTTTTTTAGAGGTTTTCACCAATAAAACCCATTTTGTACGCTGAGAATTGCCAGTGAAGTGCCAAGACACCATTTCAAATCACCACAGAATTTACGAATCTTGGTGTCTTTATTAGCAGATAGCAGTAAGAGAAATGACAGTAGCCTGTGAAAATAAAACATTTTAAAATAGAGCATGAACGTAATAGACTGTACAGAGCACATTCATTGCTGGTGGACCAGCTCTTCTGTGTCATCCCAGAGTGACTTACTTGTTCAGATTCACATCTTTTCCCTGCTCGTGAGCCTCAATTAATTGCTTTATGATGTCAGCTATCGTCATCATCATCAGCTCTGCATGGCTGAGGTCTCCTGAAATGAGAACAAAATAAAAACCCACATGTACAGCCACTGCTTTTGATAACCAAGGCACACCAGCTCCGCAATTCAGTTTTAATATTTCCTACAACCGTTGCCTGCAGAGGGAGTTTTGCCACTGCCTATCACTCTCAATTTGCAGCATTCCCCAAACAAACTACAGTCACCACCTCATATCACTGACTTCCTTTTAATTCTAGGACAAACTCCACCTTCTCCTGTCAGAGCAATCTGCACAACAGCCAGAAATAAAAAGTCACTGGAAGTTAAAGATGATTAGTGGAATAGTCTGATGCTACCGGTACACGTGGCAAGGAACAGGACACGTTTGTGAGAAGGACAGCAGGGCTAGAAAAGGGGAGAGGGAAGCTGTGATCTCCCCCTCCATTACAGCGAGGGTATGCTGCATCAGGCAGTATTATCAGTGCCTTAAAGCTTCCCTGCTGAGCCTCACAGCCCCACGCCGTGCTGCAGCAAGGGGCTGCACTGTATAGACGGTATACATTGCTTACACTTCTTCCACAGCAGCTTTGGGAGAAGGGGGGCATTGCTATTCACAGCTCCATCCACACTTCCTCACAACAACGTGCATTTGTTCCACCTCGCGCGGCTCCGTCTACACCAGCAAGTGTTGGGATGGTAAAATATACACACCAGCCTTGTCAGAAAACCCCTCTCGCATGGACACAGCTGGGTGCACAACTGCTCCAACAAGCTTTTTTGGGCATGCCAGCTGCACTGAAATCTGGCAACACCTGGGAGAAGCACCACGGCGATGCTCCCCTCTGGGCTCTCTCTGCAGGTTGTTTTGTGGGACAGACCCAGGCTGCTGCCAGCCCCACATCATCTTTGCTGCCTCCTATCCCTCCTGCAGTTTGTTACCTTGTTCTGTCCTGAGGGAAAAGCCCAGCAACACCCGGACTCCCGGCACCTCATTCTGCATCTGACACGCGGCACCAGCCAGGAGCAAGGCAAACTCCTTAACACCCACATGGGTGCAAGGGACTCGACCTCCCAGTCCCAGCGCCCGATTCAAGTGGGGGATAGGTGGCTCACTGAGGGGTTCCAAGTCCCTCCAACCCTCAAGCAAGGCCAGAGCTGGCCCTTTCCCCGCCTCCAAGTGAAGGCGGGGAGGGCACAGCAAGGTCTCGCCTCGTTTTCCCACCCCACACACACGCAGCGCCTTAGAGACGGCGGGAAATCCCTACCACCCCTTCAGCCCCCACCCGAGGAGGGCCGGGGGAAGCATGAGGAGGAGCCGCGTCCCACACCCCTCCCCGCCATGTCCAGCCACAACTGCTGCCCCTCAGCCCGCCCTTACACACACACAAGGCCGGGGAAGCCTTGCCCCACTGCCCTCAGCTCCTGGGAGAGAGGCAGGGGCCGCAAACACACCCCCGCACCCCGCTACCTTTCCTCTTCTGCTTCATGCCGGCGGCTCCCCCTCAGCCGCTGCCCTCACAGGCCTCCTGCCGCGAAGCAACACCACCCCCGCCACGCGCGCCGTCGTGAAAACGTCGCGCCTCCCGCCGCGCTGCCGGAAAGCGACGGGAGGAGGGCGTGGAGTTGTTGCCGTACAGCGCATGCGCGCAGGGGCCTAGGCCCGCGGGGGGGATACACACGTGTGTGCGCGGCTACCCCGCGGGGGTCCCGCCCTGCCCGTCCATCCTTATCGTGTCCAGTTTTAAGTGTCCCTCGGAAAAATGCAAAGAAATTACCGGGATTTACTGGTGTTACAGCGCCACCACCGGGAAGGCCCAAGGGCCCCCGTGTAACCCACACAAACGCTTCCCCCCTCAAGTACAAGGCCACACAGGACATATTGCTGATACCTGCAAACTAAATTTATTAGAAATAGATACTTTTGGAATACAATGATTAAGATCAATTTAAACCGTTTTAACAATTTAACCATTGTGCCGCAGAACAAATACTGATCTTTTGAGGACTAGTTAGAATAACCAGGGTGAGGAACTCTTGAGATGGTTCAGACTTGCAGTAGCAGGTGCAAAGAAACATAAGGAAGGTGCAAATTGGCAATAAAACCAGAGTAGGCCAGCCTTGGAGGGCAAGATCTATGTGACCACAGGACTGACTTTGCACAGAAGTAAGGGTCAACTGGTGGACACAGTGAAGAATATGAGCCTTCATCTGAAGACTCCTGATGACCACCTGAAGCCTCCAACAAACATGTGCAAAAGACATTAACATATGCGAATTAGTTCCCAGAAAAGTTATGAATATGATAAAAATATTATTAAAATGTAATTAATACCTATGATTAAGGTATAAATGCTTGTTGATTTTGTCTTCACACACATTAGGAGGAGCTCTCCCCTGTGTGTCCGGAGCTATAATAAAGAATGCCTGCTTCCTAAAATTCCACAATTGAGTCTTAGAGAATGAATTAATTACTGCTTTCCGGTAACTTTACAGCCCACACAAATGCTTCTCATCAAATACAAGGACAGACAGGACGCATCAGTTAGGTCAGTCCGTTCTTTAAGCCGTCAACAGTGATTAGTAAGGAACTTCTAATCAGGAGCTGCTGTCCTTGAAGAAGAGAAACATCTTGAAACATGGAGGCTCATTAAAATTGTTCACCGTAAATCAACTTAATTGGACGTTAAGAGTGTCCTTTGGAGGAACTATCCTCATTACAGTAGTGAAAATCACACCCACTGCTTCCAAGACTCCTGCCCAAATAAAGACCCACACCCTTTGAACTTGTGCAGAAGAATTAAAATCCACTGTAACTTCAAATCGAGACGAAGCCTGTTGTTTCCCAGGGAGGGATAGAGCGATAAGCCGCTAACCACTGGTCATTCGAATAACTGCATTTCTGTGGTGTGAAGTGGATCAATACCTTGAGGTTCTTTTGTGTGTTGGGCTGGCTTTGTGGAATTACCACCTAGCACCTGTCTTTGAGCAAATATGGAATAAACTGATGTCTGGGCTCTGCGTGGGAGGTTGGCTTTTGCACACTGGGTCCCAAACCCTGTTTGAGGGACAACAGTTTCTGGCACCGAGGTGGGACGGTGCTGATGGCTTTGCCTGGACCGTCCCACCGTTCTGACGGGGAGCAGCAGCCCGACCGGACTCCAGCACGCGGTGACCTATTGTTGGGAAACTCCGTCAGCTCCTTGCCCGCGGTTGGGCAGCAAGCGACACAACAGGGCAACTCCTCTAAGGGATAACAATAAAGGGATGCAAGGGAGGATCCATGAGTAGGAATTTTATTTTGGATTCTGATTGCTCTGCAAAAGGTGTTCCATTAAAGGACCGCAGTACGAGCTTTTCTTCTACAGCTAGATGTGAGGGATGAGAAGCAGGGGAGTCACTTCCTAAAAAGCTGAGTGTATGAAGCTGTGGTCAAAGAAGTATTTCCTAGGAAATAATTTCAGTATAGGTTCAGTTTCCTCCACCAAGATACCCCCCTTGCACCCCTTAAGGCTGCATTATTAAACATTGCAATAAATTTGGACAAGATCCCCTGACAGAAGAAAAATTACTAAGATATTGTGGATATTAGTGACCAGTGTATAAGCCTGATGATGATGATGATGAAAGGTGACCAGGATATAGGACCTTGAATTATAATACTATTTTACAATTGATCTTGTTCTGGATAAAGTTGGATAAGTGGGATGAAGTCCCATAAATGATTTGGTTTTCACATTGCAGAATAATCATGAAATAAGGAAAAGATGTAAACTGTTATATAATGATCCTAACGGTATATATGTTAGCTGAAAGGGGGCAAGAAAAGAAAAAGCAGAGGTCTTGCTCATCATGTGATACAGGGAAAGGATGTGTTAAAGGATTTAAAGGGCCAGAGGAGCCAGAGAACGCACAGCTGTAGATATCAGGAGTAGGAGTCAGGAAAGAGGAACCAGTGGGTGAAAACAGTAGTGAGGACAACGTCCAGCTGCACAAGCACTCCTCCGACAAGCAGTCGGGGTGGAGGGAATGCCTGTTTCATACATGTACCTTTTACTGCCTTGGATTTGTTGAATTGGAAACAATCAATAGGATCGTATCACGAAAATCCAGAAAATATGTGTTAGGTGTTGGAAACAATACTAATCCATAACCCTCATTGAGGAGCTCTTCAGGCAATGTTAAGTACTTTTTTTTTACAGCAGAAGAGAAGCACTTGGTGTTAGAAAAGGCTAGGGAGGAAAATGAATGCCGTAATGCTAATGCTAACACTGCCAGACACATGCCCAAGACGGATCCAGAATGGGATCCAAATAATCAGTGTAGGGAAAAATATGCTCAAACAGTATCAGCAATTAATTTTGCATGGGGTCCATTCCTGCGTTCCAAAACGTAGAGATGTATCAAAGTTATATTAAGTAAGAGAAGAAAGTGGAGAAAATCCATCATCATTTTATGACAGGTTGTGTAATGTTGCTAGACAATGGACAGTTTTGAATCCAGAAGATGAGGTGGAGAATGTTTAATGTGTTATTCACTGGACAATCTGCTTCAGATATTAAGCGGAAACTACAAAAGGTAGATGGCGCCGGAGGAATGTTGATCTCACAATTAATTGAAATAGTTTATAAGGTTTATAATACTCTAGATGAAGTCGAGAAAAAGGAAAGACAAAGGGAGAAGCGGAAAGGTAGAAAATCACAGGCTACCTTGTTGGCAGCAGCAATTACTGAGAGTTCAGTGAGAGGAAGAGGAAGGCGTAGAGGGTTCAGAAGGGGGGTAGTAATGGTAAGGGAAGACGCTGTGTGATTAATCACATCGTCTGCGGGATGTTGGGACAAAATCAATGTGCTTATTGTAAGAAAGAAGGGCACAGGAAAAATGAGTGTCCAAAGGGGACAAGATTACTAAAAAGGACGGTGGCCCAAGGTGGGGCTGGCACCTGAGTCAGATCTGATCATGCTAGGAGCCTCAGATTCAGATTGACAGGGACCAGCAGAAAATAGTAAAATTTCCCCAACTAACCTCCTGGTTCCAGTTAAGCTGGGGAACAAAACTGCTGATTTTCTAGTAGATAGCAGGGCAACCTATTCAGTAGTAACTAGTTGTAAGGGACCTCTAAGTAAAACACATACGCCAGTTGTTGGGGTCACAGGAAAGTGAGCTTTGAGGCCATTTTTAAAACCTATGGAATGTACAATTGGAGGTACTGCATTAACTCATGAATTTCTATACATGCCAGAGTGCCCCTTCCCCTTCTTGGGACAAGATCTGTTTTGTAAATTGAAAGTGCAACTAACATTTTCTTATGAGTCTATTCAGTTACATGTGCCTGAGGAGACAGGGTGGAAAGCTCAGCTGTGACTATTGACTGAAAAGAAACAGGAAGAGACCAGGATCTTGGAAGATATTTTGCATGCTGTGATACACCTCATATGGGCCTCTGAGAAACCTGGATGAGCCAAGAACACTTCTTCGGTAAAGGTGGAATGAAAATCAGGATCACAACCAGTAAGGAAAAAGCAACATCCAATGAAATTAGAGGCTAGAGTGGAGTTAGAACCACTAATTAATACCTTTGTGCGATGTGGCTTACTACAGGAATGTCAGTCTGACACCCCTATTTACTGCTAAGGAAAGCTCAAACTCAAAGAATATCAACTGGTACAAGATTTTAGGGAAGTTTAAAAGATCACCATAGATGTTTACCCTGTAGTACCTAACCCCTACGCTCTACTGCCTACGATATCTCAAAATAGTGGATATTTTACAGTGTTAGACAGAAAAGCTGCTTTCTGTTGCATTTCCCTAGAAGAGGAGAACCAGAAAACTTTTGCCTTTGAATGGGAGAGTCTGGCTACTGGCAGGAAAGTACAATTTGCTGGACTGTGCTGCCCCAAGGATTCAAGACTAGCCTGACCCTGTTTGATAATGTACTTGCCAAAGAATTGGAAGAATGGCAAGATGGGAGTAGCTCCATGGTGAGTGGGGAATGGAAGGCTGGATACGCTGTGATAACCCCACAGAAAGAGATTGAAACATTGGGAATGGGAAGTAGAAAGCCCACCTCCACATGAGAGTTATGAATTATGCTTCCAAAGATGTTCTGCCCCAAAAGAAATAGATAGGATAAATTGCTTGTTGGAAAACAGCATTTCTGGGGGGAAATTACACTAGCTGTAATTGTACAATAACAGTAGAGGTAAGAGAAGATGTCGGCTTGCCCAATATTGTCTGGCCAGTTCCAGAAGGTAAGGGAGGGTACTGGATATGTGGCACACGAGCCAGGAAAGTTTTACCAGGGAACTGGGCAGGAACATGCGCTTTAGGTGCAATTGTTCCAAATATAACAAAAATGGACAAATTTAGTGGAGATAACAAAATTTGGCTAAGATCATTCCAAAAATTCCATAGAAAAGAGCTAATCCTCATGTAGAACAACCAGTAGCTTTTCATTCTTTTGCCAGATGGTTTATACCATGGTTAGGAGTCAGTGAATTGGAAAAAGCCATAGTAAACATTTCAGCTGCAATTGAGAAAATTGGAAATGAGACTTATGATGCTATAAAGGCCCTGCAAGAAGAAGTGTCCGAGTTAGCTAAAATTGCTTTACAAAATAGGATGGCTCTTGGTATGATGCTGACCTCTCAAGGAGGACTATGCACAAATACCAGCTGCTGTGCATATGTAGATCAAAGTGGAAGGATTTCTACTGATTTAAATGAAATTTGGAAACAGACTAAAATGCTTCATGAGATCCTGAAGGATAACACTTCTTATGGATTCGAAGAAACATTTAAATGGTTGTCTTCCTGGTTCCCGGATTTGAGTCTATGGATAAAGAAACTCTCAGGAATTTCAGTTAAAATAATAATTGTCTTTGTATGCCTTTATGTACTCATCCAGAGTACGTAGAGATACTTCTTATGTATAGGTGAACAAACTGTGGCAATGAGACTTACTTAGATGAATTTAAGTTCTCTAGATAGTCTCAGAGGGGGGAATTGTAGCCTGCACAAATGTTTCTCATCAAATACAAGGACAGACAGGACGCATCAGTTAGGTCAGTCTGTTCTTTAAGCCGTCAACAGTGATTAGTAAGGAACTTCTAATCAGGAGCTGCTGTCCTTGAAGAAGAGAAACGTCTTGAAACATGGAGGCTCATTAAAATTGTTCACCGTAAATCAACTTAATTGGACATTAGAGTGTCCTTTGGAGGAACTATCCTCATTACAGTAGTGAAAATCACACCCACTGCTTCCAAGACTCCTGCCCAAATAAAGACCCACACCCTTTGAACTTGTGCAGAAGAATTAAAACCCACTGTAACTTCAAATCGAGACGAAGCCTGTTGTTTGCCAGGGAGGGATAGAGCGATAAGCCGCTAACCACTGGTCATTCGAATAACTGTGCATTTCTGTGGTGTGAAGTGGATCAATACCTTGAGGTTCTTTTGTGTGTTGGGCTGGCTTTGTGGAATTACCACCTAGCACCCGTCTTTGAGCAAATATGGAATAAACTGATGTCTGGGCTCTGCGTGGGAGATCGGCTATTGCACACTGGGTCCCAAACCCTGTTCAAGGGACAACACCTGAGGCCCCCTAACCCCCACCGGTGGCTTTCGGGCCCTGCACCCCATCAGCACTAGATGGTAGCAAAGTATCAACATGAGGAGTGGAAAACAAGCTGGATTTTTCTGTCAAAAGGCTAAAAGCCCTTCTCCAGAGGTGCCTGCAAACCTTTGGGCTCCTGGGGAGCCCGGGGGGACGGAGCTGGGGGCTGGGGGTGGTGGAAGGGAGCAGGGGAGGGGAATGGGGTGTTTGAGAGGTTCCCTGTTGGGAGAGGCTGAAGGGCTCGTTCAGCTAGGAAACGAAGGGGTTTGGGGGGCCCTGAGAGCAATCCCCCTCAATCTCCGAGGAGGTTATGTCTTCACAGTGGTGTGTGGTGGGAGGACGGGAGGTGATGGGCTGAAGTTTTAAGGAGAGAGGTTCAAACTGGATATAAGGAGAAAGTTTTTCATCGCCAGGCCAGCAAGTGTGGGGAGTGGGTTGCTCATGGCAGTTTGTGTCATCTTCTCTGGAGGGTTTGAAGACCCAAGTGGATAAAGCCCTGAGCAACCTGGGCTGATCCCAGAGCTGACCCTGCTTAGAGCAGGAGGTTGGACCAGAGACCTCCTGGGGTCCCTTCCAGCCCAAATTCTCCTGCGGTCCTATGAAATGAGCTCAAGATCCTTCCATGAATCTCCACTGACTTCTAGAACCCACATGAGCTTCAACATCTGCAACTTCTCGAGGCAGGGAGTTCCACAGCTGAATTACATCTCGCATGGGGAACTCCCTGCTTCTGTTTGCTTGTTGCTGTTAGCCAGAGCCTCACTGGTGCTGCCGGCTCCCACTTCTTACTGGTGGCATCCTGGTCAACCAGTTGGTTCTGGTGGATCTCTTTGTGAGTAATGTTAACCTAGCAGTGAGCAGATGGGAAAGGCTGCCTGGGTGAGAAAACAGGATTGCAGAAGCAGAGGGAACAGGCAGAAAGGAAAAACGGGCCACCAGGAAGAAGAAAAACTCACCAAATGACATAAAATCATGAAGAGAGGTGCTGGCAACTGCTGAGTGACCCACTTTTATGATTTATGGGCTGGTAAAAACCTTTCTTTGAAAACATCCTGATCTGGGGGGCTGAACTGAAAATTTTTGACATCACGCTGATGACAGGCGTGCGCCTGGGGACTGAAGGGTCAGGAGGGCTTGCAGGGAGGGAAGAGGGCGTGTGGAAGGAGCCGCAGGTCGGCTGTTCCCACTGTGTGGGTTGGTTTATAAAGCAACCGGAGCCTGCTCTGGGGCCTGAGGTCAGCAGGCACAGCCTGGCAGGCAGCTTGTACGAGGAGGGGTATGTGTGTGCACGTGTTGTGAGACCCTCCTGCCTTCCCCACCTCGCTGGGTGGGTTTTGGCAGCACCCTGCCTATACAAAGCAAGATCCCAGGATGGAACAGGTTGAAAATAGGGTTTAGACCATCTGCTCCTGTTGTTACCTTTCTCCTGCCTTCGGGGCTTTTTGGAGAGCTGAATTCAGTTTCCTTCCTACAGGATGTGCTGGGAGTGCCCTGCAATGCCTGGACCTGTCTCTACTTCTGATTTTACCTCCCCGGGGGTCTCCCAAGCATCCTGTGCCAACCAGCAATTTATCCGTGGTTTGGAGGGCGGTTGTGCTCAGGGTATGGGCTGTACAAACAGTGACAAAGCATCTATCCGGACACGCATCTTCTGCCATCACCTTTCTCAAAGCTATTTCAGCAGCTGCTGTGCAGCAAGGGACATTTCAGATACAGCCACGCAGGCAGGGGTTGTCTGTGTGTCTAGCCATGGACTGGCTGGGGTATGAAAGCAATTCCTTCCCCGGAATTATTTGGTGGTTCACATCCTACACAGCATCCATCTGGAGGATGTCTTTGTATGTTGTTGGGGATGGCACGGAGCACAGGACAGGTAGGATGCCCATGCTAGACGCACGATAAGGCGAGTTTGAGAGCATGCCAGCAAGGACAAGGCGACTGATTTCAAACCCATTCCCATAGCCCCCTCCCTCCCCTGAATCCACACCCCGCTAAACACAACCCTACGCACTGCGTCACTGCCTCCTCATCTCCTCAGCCCTTCGTTACGTGAGCCGAGCTGTGCTCTCTTTTCGTTATCAGCTTCATCCACCTATTACAGCAACTTTTTATCTTGCGTTTAGCTACTATCATGAGCTGCTTTCCCGTTGCCGCAAGGTCTCCAAGCTCTTCAGTAACCGTCCTTTAACCTATTGTAACTCCAACGCTGCTGCTGAGACTTTGCTCTCTGAATGCACTTACTTCCTTGGCAACAGCTCACGTTCGCTTATCTTCCATCTCGCCACACAAGTTGGATGTTTCCAAAAATCCTCTGTATTAATCCAGCTGTGCTCCCACCTGTAGCTCCTATCAAGTTCAGTTACACATAATCCTTTTCCCAGGTTTCTGTTTCTTTAGCTCAGAAGAAAAATAATTAAGAAAACTTCATTTTGGCTACAAAACCAAACTACAGTACCAAACTCTGCCATTGCTCCCGGCAAGGAACACCAGGGAAATGCAGAGTTTTGGGCAGAAACGGGTGGTAAAGCTTGGGTAAGAGGTGGCTGGCATGTTTGGGTTTGTTCCCCACATCTGAGCAGAGCTGTAGCCTCGGGCTCACATTCTGATCTTGCTTGTACTGGTGGAATTCAGATGCAGCAATGCTGATTCACTGGCCTCTGGGGTTTAAAAGGAACTTTGAGTTCTTTAATCAAAGGCTGTGGCTAATGAGAGTTGTGCAGGATCTGGATATGCCAAGCAGTGCAGGGAAATGCGCATCTACAAGGAAGGGTGAAGGCATAACAACCTTCCTCTGTATTTGTTTAGCAATTTCTTATCAGCATAGCTGGAAGCGGGCTATAAAGGTGGGTAAATAACCATCTGCCTCTGCAGATCAGCAGCCCGGGGTGGGACGGTGATGCGGCTTGCCTGAGGCCAGCCAGCAGTTCCGTGGCAGAGGCAGGTGATGGAGCCTCATTGTATCTTTTGTCTCCATTTCAGAATGTGACCCATTTTGTGACCTCAGGAATGATTGTAAAGTATGTTATAAGTACATGCATTTTTATTCTAATAACATAATCAGTAGGAGTTACATCAAGGCGTTATATAGGTCTGCTGTTACTTCAAGGACACCTGGCTTGGTACATTCCTGGACATTACTGTTAGTTATTTGACAGCATCATCAATACAAAAACTTTATGAATCAGAGAAGGCTTAAGCCTTAAAATGTATAGTGAGCACTTGATCTGCTGCAGCGAAGGCACAGTGTCTGCAGTAATGCCCAAGCACTCAGCTCCCACACCAGTCAGACCCTGGGAACTTTACGTTTCTAGGGAGTACGCTCACTGATGAGAAAAGAAAAACCATTGCTGCAGGGTTACATCATTTCCTTGTGTAGCCATGTGCTGTTTGTAACATGGACCTAGCGCTGAACTGCTGCCACAAGAAGCTACACACTGCCTAACAGAGACAGAAAAAAAAAAAGAAAAAAAAAAGCTGGAACAACAGTTTGGACTTAAAAATCCAAGGAAACACCCATGAAGAAATCAGTTAAACTTGGTTTCCTGAAGGAAAAGGCTTGTAAGGAGATGTTTGCAATACCAGGGAATGATGCTGATGAATATTTTAGATGGGATTTACCCCACCTCACTGTAAATGCTCAAAGGTTAGCTTTCTTAATCAAAATTAGTCAGTCTGGCCTCTTGCATAATCAACAGATCCTAAAATATACGAGATAATTGCCATCTGCAGGTTCCTATTTCAGCTGCTCTCTTGAAAGGTGACCAGCTCAGACTTCACAAGCCCTTAGGCCACCGTGTTGGTTGAGATGAACTCCCCCTTCCAAGCATCAGGGCAAGTAGAAAAATGAAAGAACAAATTCTAGGAGAGGGGGATGCACTGAGTTACCCAATCGTTGATTTGGAGCTGGAATTCACCTGGCACTCGACCAAGTACCCCAACGGGCAGAGGCTCCTGCTGGATGCTCTCCCTTCAGGTCAGATCCATGGCGCGTCGTGCCCAGTGCCTGGTCTTGGCAACGGTCAACGTCTCTTGCGCCAAAAAACGTGAAACCCTCAAGTGACACGGTGCAGAATAATCTGCTCACAAATCAGAAGTCTTCTCCTAATCCCTGATGATCAGTAGTTGGCATTTTCTCTGAGACATGATTTCTAGTCTATAAATGTTGGGAATTCATGGGCATAGTGTGACTCAGTTCCTAACACGTGGAAAGGTTCGGTTTTATCCCAGCTTTCTCACTCTGGGATATGATAAGGTAATGAGTTACATTGCTGTGCATTCAGTCCCCTTATCCTTAAAAACTGCTATTCTTTACATTTACTGGATATTTCCTTAATTGTGGACAAGACAAATAAGAGCACATGATTTACATTCTCTTAAAGAATTAGACTAGTGCCAGCTCCCCACACAGAGCCATGTACAATTCTGTAATCCAGAGTGTGGGATTTGATTTCCTTCTCACTAGCATGACTGAAAAGATGGAGTTGCCTTGTTTAACATGAGAAAGAAATTCTGTCTTCAGTACAGCCCTAACTAGGTTTTTCTTGAAGTATTTTCCCTGAGCTTCCTTTCTCCCACGTATTAAAGGCTTTTCCCTTGGATGCTGTGGTGCTTTCTTCACAGTCTCACCGATTTGGCAGGGGCTGTAGGTTATAGCTGAGGAATCACGTAAACATCAGTGGTAAACCTCTCACTTTGTAGGGAGGGTACAGTTTCCATCACTCAGGTGGCTGGTAGTCCTCCCTTGTCTTCACAGTCCCCTCAGTGCCCACAGGGACAGACAACTTCTGTAATTCACTGGCAAAGCATCACAGAGCACCTCAGGCCATGGGATATGCCCCAAGATGTCCGAGTGACACACAGGCAAGCTCACATGAGGTCCAGCAGCTGTAGCAAGGACCTACACAAGTGTCTCCGTGGTCAAAAGCCTAGCTGAACTCTGCAAAAATGTCACACCCAGAAGAAAAAGAGAATATAGCACCGGCTCAAGAGCAGCAGTGATAGGAAACCAGGCTGAGAAGCACAACAGGAAAAGAGACTTAGACTGTACTCAGCTTGGAAATGGGAGATCCCACCTGGAGATCCCCAAGGCAGGCAGGAGTCATTGCACCTAGTACAGTGCTTCCAAAACAAAGGATAAAGCCATTGCTCCAACAGCTTTCTGTCTAAACTGGCTACGAGGCAGTTGGGATTTCTTTTGGCCAGCCTAAGTGAGAATAGACACAGGACCTCCGTGCCCATTTCTTTGCATTGTGTGGTGAGGTAAATGAAGAAAGTGTCCTCTAGCAGCAGCTGAAAAAAAAAAATAAAGCTGGATCCTTATGAAGGACTCAAAAGCAGCTGTTCTTTCACCGAGCACAGTCCATGACTTGATTAACATCACTGTTGTTTCCCCAGTGCCAAGCAGATGAGCTGCTTTCTGCTGGGATGAAAGATACTCTGAATCCTCTCTTACTCTGTATCAGATCCTTGGTTAGATGGAGGAATGTGCCAGGGCTGAGCCTCAAACACTGGGGATGCTACACAAAAAAAAAGAAATAATGTAAGAATCAGATTACTTTAGTCAGAGAATTCAGATTTTAAACATATTTAGGTATTCAGCCAATCCTTGGGATTTTGGTTGCATTTAATACCTCAAATACCTTTACAAATCTGGATTGAATGGAAAGACAGTTTCCATTTGTCATCTCATTATAGAGAAAATAATCATCAATCAAAACATCTTTACTTCTCCTGCCCACTTTTTTGACAAACTGCAAACATGCCCTGGTAAAGCCAGCTGGAGCACTATCTAAAATCAGTAAATTTACCTTGGGAAAAGCCTGGCAGAGATCGCAAAGGTCCAGGAGAGGTCACCGAAGGAATTAAGATAGGATTTGTCTCTCTCTGATACAAAAAAGGATATATAGTTTTGCCTTGCAAATTGCCCCTAATCCAAATGCAATCCCTCAGGGATAATTTACCATGGTAGCTTTTCTCTTACAGCAGTGGGGTTTGTAGGTAGCTTGCTTCCCCACTCTCCCTAGCACTTCCCTTGTGCACAGTTTTTCAATTTCTTATCGCGTAGAAGACGGTGACTGCAGCAGAGCTCAGACTGGACACTGCATGCCCCTGCACGCGCCATTATCCTCCATCCATACGGAATCGTTAATCACTGGGTGGCCCCTTCCCTGCAGGAGCTCCCCTTAATCCATCCCCCCCATCCTCTTTGACGACACTAAACTGTACCTCAACCGTGGTTGCAGATTGGTTCCCAGAAGTTAAGAGACTTAAGAGACACCTTCTTCCCACTCCCAGTGCCTCCCGGATGCGGTGAGAGTTCAGTGCCACATTCCTGGGAGGCCACAACACCGCTGCCGGACCAGTGGAATTCCCTTGATGTACTGGAACAACCAATAACTCAGTCAAGGCCCAGAGCCTACGCTTGACTCTTCATGACTTGACCCCAGTCCAGCAGACAGCTTTCCTAAGGCTCTGTCCAAGCAATGTGGCTTCAGGATCAGGGCCCTATTTTATAGAAACCTTGTGTTGCTTTCGAAATTTTTGGCGCTGTAACCCTCTAGCCTAATCTTGATGCTTTCCTCTCTTGGCTTTTATAACCAGGATGCATTTATGTACTGCTTCCTCCATGAAGAAGTCTTCATGTGTTTTCCTTGGGCCTCATCTTACTCATTCCAGTGCTTTCCCCTATGTATCATCCTTTGTCTGTGTTTGGATTCTTTCTTTCGTCTCCCACGGACGATTTGTGATCACTCATTTGTACTGTGAGCCCTCCTTGGGGGGGTTAGCCTATTGACCTGCTAAAAACACTAGGTGCTAGGGAGATCCAAAGGGATGCTGGAGGTCTCCAGGCGCTCCATTATTTTCCTTCTAGATGAGGTCATCAATAATTACTGGATAGTTTCTGCCCTGTAGGAGCTCCCCTTACTCTACCCCTGTGATCTCTTTGAAAATCCTAACAGTATCACATCAGAAGCCTCTTTTCCTTTGTTCACTCCAGGTTCTTTATCCACTACCACTATAAAAAACTCATCAGGAGTCACAGATTGCAGTCCTTATGTTGACAACCCACTTGTGAACTAACGGGACTTTCACCAAAATCTGCACAAATGTCATGTGCTTCTGAAAGATACCAAAAGGCTCCCTCAGCAGGCCGCAGACACTGAGGACCTTCAGGAGATGCTGGGTCTATCAAGAGGTGAGGTCATCATGAATAGCTGCCCAAGCCAATCCTAGACTGAAATGGCGTAAAATTGTTTTTGATCGTGTCAATCTGCCTCCTTATTTTTGGAAAGCATTTACAGATCAGCTGCTTCCTCAGCTGTTGTCTCCCTGCTTTGTCCTGTAACTAGCTGAATGCTCTGATTCCAACCCAACCATACCAGCTCCTCCTGGCATCTATCCAGGACCTGGCAGAGTCCATGGACTTTGGGCTGAGCCCACTGCCACTTCGGATCTAAGATCTCTTGCTCTGCCATTGAGTATTAGTGAGTTAGAGCCATGTGAAGCCCGTGCCAGCGTTCAACACCAAGATGACAGTCGTGACAGACAGGTGGATCTAGCAAGTGCTAGATGTGACGTCTTTGGCCATATGTTCTCTTTTGATGCAGCAAATCACTGTCATCTGGATTCCCACCATCCAGAATGACTGCCTCCTCCTTCGCCTACAGAAATATACTGCCAGCACCATCTCCTTTCCTCTGTGCACTAAATTTGGATATTGGCAATCTCTACAATAGCCTTGACGTGGGATGTGGCAGCATACTAACATGGAGACCTGGTGTTCATCCTTGTGAAGTCTTTCTTCTCTCTTTCACGTGGCTTTGGCACTGGAGCTCGAACAGGTGCTGGTCGTATCCCAGCGTTCCACTGGGAGCTCTGGGCCAGGGTCTTTGCTGCTGCTTTGCAGGGCAGGTTCCCAGTTGACTGGTGAGTGGCCCAGCTGGGCCGAACTGGTGGTTTTGGAACAGACTCAAGATCTGCGGAAAGTGATAGCTAGGAAGAGAAGGCAGTAAGTATCATAGCATCCCAACAGCTTCAGAGGGACTGAAAACGTTGGAGTCCACTGAGAACTTCAATAAATTCTATACATTCTATAAATTATATTCCTAAATGATGTCCCTGAATTATATTCCTAACTGATACAAACATAAGCTGCATTATTTGCAGACTCATACTCTGGTATGAGTTTACCTTAAGGATAAAAGGACCCAATTAGAAATTGAAGCTAGTGAAGCCAAACTCGTGTTAATTGATTCTCCACATCAATTCATATGTTAATGCTCTAATTCTCCCCTGTGCATATGGCTGCGACTGATCCCAGGCTTGCTTGCTATTTGAAGTCTCACAGTGTAAAGGATGAAGTTTATTTTAGCATACTGTTCAATGAGCATTTTACCAAATGGTATAAAAATTAAGCAAAAAACCCCCCAATTTAGCAACACAGTGATCGTTTATTCCCTGAGAAGGATCCCAAATATACCAAAAGCACAGGTTCTGTGCAGACCAACAGCTTTGGCTTTTTTTAACTGATACTGATTATTTGATAAGAATAGTGAACAAACACTAACAAATCCAAACATTTACATAGCAACTCATTAAAAAGCAATGTAGTCATATAGTCTTGTGTGAAACTGGTGTCCATAGTAAAATGGTTGTGCAGAAAAATCAATGCTGCTGCAATTCCTGCCTGCCTGTTTCCCTTTTCCATTATTTCAGCTGGCAGCAGTGGCAGATATATGGTGCTTCACGCCTAATTGCCTAGTTATAAATGAGCAATCCAGCAAGTGCTGAATATCAACCTAAAGAGAGGCCAGAGATTATACAGCTGGTGAAAGTGGTCCAGGATCTTAGCAGTACTTCAGGTGTGACAGAGATAGTGTGATAAAAACAGGTGCCTTTTTTGTCCTAGAGAGGAAAGCACAATACCATAGAGGCAGTAGTAGTCGCAGCACAGATCTGACTATTCCTTGTTTTTCAGCTCCTGTGGTGGTCATGGTTCAGTTTTAGAGCTCAGAGGGACAGATAGGCATAGAGTATTAGAAGCAGGCTATACTTTTAAAATTAGAGTGACATATATAAACTGAGTTTGAATATGCAAACATTATACTGAGTTATTTTCACTTTCAGGAGCAGTCCCATGAAGTTCTACAGGATTTCTTGTATGAATAAATAAAATTCAAAATAATATATAAATATACACTGGACAGGACTGTGTCCTAGCACTGAGATCTTCACATGGGCTACACCTACACAGAACATAAATGCGATTCATACTCAAAACATCGGTTCCCTGTCAGTATGTCATAAGAAAATTTATTCCTGACTTCAAATGCTGCAATCTTATTACCTTAGGATATAGGCAGTGAGGCAAGAATGACTGATCCTGTCAAAAAGATGTTATTTAGTAAGTACTAAAAATAAGTCAGTAATTCAGGAACAGCTGTGCGGGTGGAGCGGCCTCTCAAACAGAAACAAGCAGAAAGCCTGAAAGGCAAAACCAGCCCCTAATTGCTGACATTGCAGTCATTTGCAAAGCTGTCAAAAGCATCAATCACATTGTACCCTCCTAATAAAGTCTCCGGGAATTTTGACATTTGGACATGAGGCTGCCTCGTTTGCTGAGAGGCTGCAGCAGGCTCCTCCTTGGAAGTCCTCAAGGGCTTGTCTAAAGGAGACTGATGTGGCAGCCGGGACGCCCGCGAAGGGACCTGTAGGGCCAGGGCTCAGAAATCACGGCAGGGCAGCGCAGCTCCATGGCGGAGTGAACAGGAGTGGCCCAAAACAGAGATCTGATTTCCATGCCCAGCCTGGTGAAAGCTCAGAGAAGTCACTGAAACCGCTGCATTCTTCACTTTTCTTTATAAAATACTGGGACGGTAGCTGCTGAAGGCAATGCGAGCACCAAGGTGGTATAGATGAGCCATAAAGCCTTGATCCAGCCGAGTGCTTAAAGAGATGGTTAACACTGAAACTACACACATCCTTAGAGTAAGGCATGTCCCTGGATAAAGATAGAGTGGGTATTCCCACCATAGAGACATGGGTGTTGTACGAGCATTAATAAGAAAGAACTTGGCCCATCATTCAGAGACCTAATTAACTTAATTTATTGTAATTTACTATTTATTGTAATTTAGCTAATTCACTTTAATTTATTCTAAATTAAGGGTGAGCCTGGTCACATTTGATGCCACTGTTTTCATGAGTACTAATAAACTCCAAAACCTCACAAGTTCACTAGGAGGAGAACTGATTCACCACATGCAAATGTGGAGCCAGTGGATGTAATTCCAGGACGCAGGTCATCACCTTAATTATGTGTTTCTTCTATTTTTGGTGTGCTGTTGTTCAGCCTCCTGAGCTTGGAGCTCCATATAATAGCCCTTTTCACATCTTCATTGTTGGCTGTAATATACTTTATTCTCACCTATTTTTTACACTTGGATCACTGATTATTTAAGAGCTACATTTTAATTTGACTTGATGTTTGCTTGCTTGGGGCATTTATTCTTTCATTACAGCCTATTCTTATTCTAAGGATTTACTAAAAGATTTCAGCATTAAGCCTCTTTACTTGGACTTGATTAAATAAGAGTCTTTTCACAGGTCTTCATTTCAGCAAGGTTTCCCAATGCTAGCTTAATAATAAATTGAAATTAATTTTGGATTATTCCTAGTGAGTTATATATATATTCTTTTTCTATGCATCAGTCTACCGTAACCTAATCTTTATTGTCATGTAGTGTTGTAGTCATAAATGGCCAGCGTAACAGCAGGCTTATACTTCAGAGAATAAGAAACACAGCTCTTCTATTGGAATTTGGACAACTCTAAACTCAAGAGAAATACAAGCCTATTTTCAACAGAAAGGTCTAGGAAAGAGCGACACAGCAACACAGGCTACCCCAGATTTTTAACACAAATAGAAGACAGTACTACCAAGACTGCGTAGCACAAAGGCACGGGGCTCTGTTCTGGGCTGGTGTCACCAAGGGGTAACCCCGTGGGTTTCAGGACACTTACCCCTGGGTTAGGCTGTCCTAACTGCTTAGGAGGGACCAAGGGGGAATGCTGGACTTGTCAGGCCTTGGCGGCAGGCAGTGGCTTTAAGACTCTTCCCAGGACTTTTTGTGGGATGAGAATTCAGAACCCACTAACTCTGCGTGCTCCCCCAGACATTTGCCTACGAGCATTTTGTGTCAGCTAAATGCTTTCAGGTGACTATTTGCTAAAGGAATCATAATGACCCTTTTAAACTGTGAGCAACCAACAGAAGGTGACACACACATACACACGGTTCAACCCTGTACTGCCGCGATTTGTGGCGAAAACTCCCGCGGACGTGCAGGAGAGTTTGGACTTTATGGTGGGAGTCAGACCAGGTGCTCGCGCCTTGCTGATTGGGGGTTGCAGGTTAAGTAACTTCGAAGAACACATAACTTCCCTAAAATCTGGGGGAAGAAAATCAAATTCACCTCTTTTTACCCTGAACTAAGATTATTTCATTTCTGAACTGATGACAAAAAAAGCTTTAAATTTGAAATGGGAAGACGTGGTGGAATGAAACCGTGTAAGGGCGTTCTGATCTAAGGAAAGCCACTGGAGAATGGAAATTGTAAGACGCAGGGTGAATAACTTGAATTATATTTTCTGTTCTTTAACACTGACTGAATCTATTTCCTTGTAAACAGGCTGTATTTGGGTCAGGAGAATGCCTCCCAATCTCGGGAGACAATACCCCTCTTTCATGTAAACTTCTTTAGCTCAACTCACATGCATTCCCTGGCTTTCATCGCTTAGAAAACATGCTTCCAGGTCTGCAAAAATCCCCAATACGCTTGTGAGCACATCCTTCTTCTGGCAGTTATTTGTTGCCATATCTACAAAAGCTTAGACCCATGATTTTTTCTGGAAGCCTGACTTCCCTAGACTCCTTTCATGTGGGGATGCCCTATTTTACCAGCGATGAGCACAATGAATCCTCAGTATTAAGACCTTGGGGCTGTTTGCTCAGGGTCAGCGCAATGAACAGAGAATAAACTAACATCACATTGCAATGATCAAAAGTTGTGAGCACAGAAATGAAGCTTTGGGAAGAGATGCAAGTGTCGTTAAGAGAATTGATCCAGTGCTTTGTAAAGCATGGAAGCATACCGTCGGGACACAGATAACAAGGTCACTGTTACAGACAGTTGCTGTCCTTTTCCCACTGCAGGCAGATGGACTGTGTCTCGGCTGCAGTGAGAGATTGCCCCCGGCGCAGCCACACATGGGGTGCTTTGTGTCCTCCTTCTGCCCAGATACATCCCTCGGGGAGAGGCAGCGAATGTGCCTGGCAGCCTACTTACAGCAGGAGCAAAGCTTCACAGTTACCTAAGTTAAGTAAAAGCCCTGAGCTAAAACGTTCCTGGGCATAACGATATAATTACAAGACGGTGATACTTGCCAGTGATTTTGCCTTCTGGAGCTTATTAGATCCATGACCCGCTCTCTTTTTTTTCTCAGCTGCCTGCCGGCTAAGGTCCGGGGTCTCCCCTCCTCCTTTCTTTCTCCTGCAGAGTAGAACAGAATAGTATTAACAAGTGCTATGGAGTTGGTTCCCTGGGGTTGAGAAAAAGAAAATCCCTTATGATATTGCCACCCGAAAAGACACGGTTTAAGATAATACATTTTATCTTGCACCTGGGGCAGACCAGGAGCACACAATCAGATACCATGGCTCAGAGGAGGGTGGCAACTTGCTATTTTTTAAGCTATGATAACTTTATAGCACTCAAACACATGCCCTGAGCTCGAGACTTGCTGATTGAAGCTAAATCCACATAACATGTACCTCAGCTTAGGGGAATTTGCAGAAAGGCGCGTTTAGCTAAGTCAATTTGAGAATTTTCAGTGAAGTCCATGTCACTTGTAACATAAATAAGGGCAGAGGACTGCCCCTCCAACAAGGTATTTATTAACTGTTGTCATTGCCAAATACTTCTTCTTATATATGTGTATGTGTATGTATATGAATGTATAAATTTATATGCAGCTATTATTAAAGTCAATACAATTAACTGGAAGAACAGGAATATTCCAGAGTGTGAAAATTAAGTGAAGTGCATTGGAATATGGCCAGTTGTCCTATTTTTCCAATAGCAGGAGAAACATTAATACTATGAGGAATTTTTTTTAAGAACTCAGGCCGGTTCATAGACACACACACTCTGAAGGTGTTCATTCCCCTTCTACGTTCAAATTCTGCAATACAGAACTAGTGACTTTAAAGCAGCAACTCCGTGTGCTTTCTGAGGGTGTCTCCCAGCTCCGTCACCAGCGTCTCTGGGCTCCTGGAAGGCATGCTAAAAAGCACAGTATGAATACAAATTAATGAATATAAAGGGTGGAAACAGACTCTAAAAGCAACATTTATCCTATAAAGAAACAGAGCCACAACACATAACACACACGTCCTCAAAAGCAGCCAACACCAGCATGTATCTGGTATTCACTCACCCCAGACCAGCTGCAGATCAAGAACCATAAGACAAGTCAGACATTATTTCAAATAGCAAACTGAGGAAAACTGCCATCTGTTTATAAACACTTCACAAACAATCGAGAGAGAAAATTCAATCCAAAATATTGCTATGGGCAATGAACTGGTCATCTTGGTGGGCTTGGCAGTGTGAGGTTTATGGTTGGACTCGATGATCTTAAAGGTCTTTTCCAACCTGAATGATTCTATGATCTTTGGAGAGAATGAAGACCTCGCCCTGTGGTTGTAAATTAAGATATGAACATCTACTGCTGTATTCTAGTGTCCATGCTCATGGTGTCAGAGCATCCCCCTGCAGCAGGTCACCACCATGATCTCACTTTGAGGTCAGGAAAATGTAAGCAGTGAGGAGTTTCTCAAGGCTGCAGAGGAAAAGGGCATCAAAGCCGAGAGGAGGACGGCAGGTCTCTCACTCCCAGTGCTGGACTCGGTGTTTCCCACCCCGCTTTCCTCCCATAAGGAACATTTTTAATTCCCACAAACCTAACAGCAGAGAGTACGGAGCTGACTATTCAGAAACATGAAAAGCAAGAGACGAGCGTTAGAATTCGGAAGGACAGTGAAACACCGTGCCCTTCTCACGCAAGCGAGCTCCTTTTTGTCAGAAACTGGGCCCAGGCTGCTGACAGAACAATTACTGAAAGTAATTATTTTCTCGTTGGGTAAACACTCCAGTACAATATGCAACTGTTTTTAGAGCCCGCCTATGTCCATAAATTATCTAACTGAATTAGTGCTGGCTTCCAGAAGCCCGAGCTGGTTGAGGGGGGAAGGAGCTTGCGTTTTGGCTGAGCTGTTGTCATGAGGAGTAGCAGGGCTCTTTCTTGAGGCACAAGGATGCAATCTTGGCGGGGGTCCAGCGCTAGGCTAGAATTGGAGTTTATTATTCATGATGAAGTGGGAGGCAGATCTTTTGATTTATTGGCAACATGCAGCACAAACACCAGATGCCTTCCAGCAGAACTGTACATACATGGACTGAAAGAAACATCCCTCCTGGACCTTTTAAGGCAGATCAGAGTCCCAGAGAAAAATTTGCTGACTTGGTTCCACACTTGAGATGAAAATCTTGCACTTCACCTTTGCAATATTGCTTTGTGCCCAAAGAGACAAATCCATCCTTGCTGGTCTCTGTTTTGTTTGTATATAAACAAAAAGCTACCTGGACAATTCAGGCAGAAAACAAACCAGACCTACCAGAAATCACCCTTACGATAAATTGCACACATACATGCAGCAACACCAAAAGTCACAGCTATAATTCTACAGAGGGATTTTGATAACCCCTTCCAGGCAATTTGTAATTCAACCCCTGCCTGTATCACTTCCCTGTTGCCTCACTACTCCCTCGACTACGCATCTGATCATTGCTATTCTTAATTTCACCGCTCAGTGACTGTGAAGCTTTTCCCACACTATCCCGTCTAAACCAAATAACCTCGCAGTGAACGTACTCAGGGATCTCTGTCCCATCTCCTTCATGCTGCAGTGATGTTTGTCACTGAGGCTCTTGGGTGACATTTGGTTTTTATAGTACGAGCTCATGCCTTTCTGAGCAAGCAGCAAAAACATCCATCAGAAAAATAAAAACAGTTAAGTCTCAATTATAATCCAGATTGCAAATTAACACCATTCTGCCATTTTGGGGGCACTACCCAGCTGTGGCACAGTGTTATGGTTCTTCTCCCCAGTGACAGGAAGCACCAGCACTGTCCAGGCCAAACCCTCACCCAATTGCTCTATAGAAATTTATTTATTTGTTTTTCAAAGGTAAATACCCAATTACAGTCTCACAGCCCGAAGCATGTTTTGTTCTCTTTTAGGACTCCCTTCACCTCTGCTCCCCTGCGTAACTGAGAATTGACTGTAGATTGTTACACTTCCCATGTTTCACTTTTTTGGGCTAAGCAAGGATAAATTCTCTGCTATGATTTCACAGCAGTGTAATTTTGATACTGCTGTGGAAGGGAGCATGTAGCTAATGACTCTTCTGAAAAGGCCAACAAAGAAACAGATGACAATGCTGCCACTGAAATGACAATATTTCAGGTGCAGAGAAGATGCTCTGTTATGATGAACAAGAGAGTTCTCACCTCTATGGATCAGAACGCCAGTTGTTGTGGTTTAGGCTTGATTGGCAGCCAACCACCATGCAGCAGCTTTCTCTCCCTTCCCCTCCAGCAATAAGAAGGGACAGAGAGCCAGGCTTGGGGTTCAAGATAGGACTGGGATGGGGAAAAATCCCCCTTTTATGATCACGAGCAAAAGGCAGACTCGTTAGGGGAAGAAAAAAAAGAACATACATTTATTACAGACACTAACACCACATAACAGAGTAAGACAGTGAGAAGCATTGCCACATCTTGAGAACACCTTCCCCCCACCCCTCCCTTCTTCCCGGGCTCAGCTCTGCTCCTGATATCTCTACCTCCTCCCCCAGTGGCGCAGGGGCAGGGAATGGGGGGTGCAGTCAGTGCTGCCACTTCCTTCGTCTTCGGTGAGGGGAGTGTCCGAAACTTGTTCCTCCTGCTCCTTTGTGGTCCCCCTCTCAAAGGAGACAGTCCTCCACAAACTTTGTCCGACTTGAATTCCTCCCACGGGCCGCAGCGTTCCCCACACTGCTCCGTCATGGGTCACTAACTCCCTCCGACTGGATTCCCTCCCACGGCTGCAGCCCTTCCCGAGCTGCTCCGGCGTGGGACTCCCCCGCATGCTGCAATCCTCCCAGCACTGAATTACAGCAGTGGGGCTGCCTTTTCCCATGAGACCCCGGCCTTCTTCGGGCACAGAACCTTGATCATCTGAGCAGGAGCAACAGGCCATAAATCAATGTCTGCTCCACCGTAGATCTTCATGGGTGGCAGGGGGGGCTGCCCTGCCATCTCACCACAGGATACAGGGCGGTCTCTGCTCCAGCACACCTCCCCCCTCCTTTCTTCCTCCGTTCCTCCACTGACCTTGGTGTTCATGCAGCTGCAGCAACTCCTCCTCACCAGTCCCACTGCCCGTCACCACGTCCCTTCTTAAATACGTTATCGCAGAGGCGCAGCCGATTGGCTCAATTTCCCAAACAGATGTGGAGCTGATGTGGAGCTGGGGGAGCTTTGAGAAGCTTCTCACAGGGGGCCGCCCCGATAGCCCCCTCCCCTGCCACCAAAAAAACTTCACCACTCACTCAACCCAGGACACCAGTGTAGGTTGAAGTCCAGCTCAGAGGAGATTTTTAGCCAGGTCCAAGAGCTAGGAAGACCCATTTTTTTGTTACCTCTTAAATTCTGCAAAATTTAACTTGACATTAGGCAGATTAACTTTGATTCAAAGAAGTAGCCAGTGACGAGTCTCACACGAAGCTTTGATGATGGCGTCAAGTATTCCTTTGATGTCATCCTGTTTATTCACAAAGAATGTTCCACAAGTCCTGTTTTCCTCAGCACTGCAGAACTCAAATGGAAAGAATGGTTTGCTGGCTCTCAGCTTTCCAGTCAACCTGCTGGCCTGCAAATGCTCTTTCTAGTCCTTCTCTCTCAGCCACCACTTTGGCTTTCTGCTCCTTTTCTGCAGGTTCTGCTCCATCTTTTCACACATGCACATGACCTCAAGAAAATACTCGTTCCTTTCTATATGCATTCTGACTGCAGCAAAACCCACTTCTTCTCCCAGACTACCTTTGCAAAACCCTGGTTTTGGGGAAATCACTCCTATTGTTTTAGGAGTCTCATTTTACATAGATTTCATTACTTCTGACATTCATTTTACATGAAGAGCGGTTGTTATGCCCTTGAGCTCCAAGAATTCATCTAATCTGAAGAATAACTATACCTAGCACAGCCTGGGGGGTCAGAGATTTTTATCTTGGTTCTCTGATCTACTTTACAGCCCTTTACACTGGTCAGGCAGGGTCTGCCTGAGCCTGTAGGCTGCAGTGAAGTAGATCATCTTGCATAGCATTCATGAGAGACTCCTAACTCATCCGACTAGGCACTCACAGTTGGCTGAGCATGGCCTTCATCAGCCATCCAAAACAATGCCTGGCATTGCAGCGGGGCACTCTGACCACTTTGCCATTTTGCTGCTGCTGACAGGCAACCTACACTTGGCCAAGCCACCCCTTAGCTGCCACCTCCACCGAAAGCCGGCACTTAAGGAACACTCGAGCGTGAAAGGTGGTGCCTGGCTGCTCCTGCTGCAGGCAGGGAGCCAGGTGAAGTGCTGAAGATGCCATCCCCAGGCGCTGCCTAGAAGCAAAGGATGGAGGATGCAGTAGAGAAACTTAGCAGGAGAACTTAATAGAATCATAGAATCACAGACCGGTTTGGGTTGAAAAGGACCTTAAAGCCCCCCCAGTGCCCCCCCCTGCCCCGGGCAGGGCCCCCTTCCCCCAGCCCAGGGGGCTCCCAGCCCCGTCCAACCTGGCCTTGAACCCTTCCAGGAAGGGGGCACCCACAGCTGCTCTGGGCACCCTGGGCCAGCGCCTCACCCCCCGCACAGGGAACAATTTCTGCCTTAGATCTAACCTAAATATCCCCTCTTCCAGTTTAAAGCCATTACCCCTTGTCCTATCACTACCTGTCCTTGTAAAAAGTCCCCCTCCAGCTTTCTTGTAGGCCCTGTTTAGGTACTGGAAGGCTGCTATGGGGAAGACCTCTAGGAAGGGGCTGCAGCAGGGACTGTGTTGGCAACGTGTCCACAGAAAGAAGAACCAGAATATTGTTACGTGAAGCTGGGTCAGCACCTGAAATGGCACACCTGTGTTGCTGAATAATCATTACAGATGGGACTATACACTAGCAATTACTTTCAGCTTAAGTGATATTAAAGGGAGATCCTTGATAAACAAGCAAATCTCATAGAATTCATTTCTTTCCTTGCAATAATCCTCTATAATTATGGATAAATGCCAGATTTGCTAGAACACTTGGCACTAAAATATTCTCCATTGCACAAATGGATAGAGGCTCAAATCTCACTTAGGAGAAGAAAACAGTCAGTGTGCTTACTGTATCATTAGTAACTCAGCATCATTTGCATCTGCTTGTCAGCTGGATCTACAGCTCAATTCTGGAACAAGCAACTTCTAAACTCCTCAAGCAAGGCTTGTCCCACTTTTGACACTGGGTCATGGCCAGCACAAGGGAACCCTAAACCTTGCAGAAACCTTTGGGAGCTGCTACATAGAAACTTTTAGCACAACTGAAAAATAATATCAGGACATCCATTTGCAACAAGAGGCATTTTGTCAAAATATTTCGTGAAAAGCCTCAAATTACTCTACCGAAAATGGTGCTAGAGTTTGGAAACATACCACAGAAAGAGGGTGAGGTGGAAACTGGAAAGCTCTTTGAAGTAGTGCGGTATCCTAGGACTAGGGGACGCGGATTAAAAAAATGATTCATAAAAGGCTTTTGCTCAGACACTGGGAACTTTGTGGAACACCCCGGAGGAGCGGTGGGTCCAGCAAAGTTAATCACATTAAGAAAGAGCCTACGTGAGTGCACAACTGCTTAGCCAAATAATCACTCGGCTGGGGTAATTCATGGGTTGATTGTTCCTGTGCACAGGGCTAGTCTCAGCTCTATCAGTTATTTACTTAAAGTACAATCTGGACACTTTCATTGTGGCTCAATTGGTTCCCAAGGTTTTTCTTGGCACAGTGAAGAGGAATCTCCTTCTCTCGTCCCATTTGGTTGGGTAGGAGTCTGTGCACAGGGACTCGCACAGGAACTAGGCAGCGGTCAATCTAATCCATTACCTGTTCACCAGGCTCAGATTAATGACAGTATTACCAGTTTCACAAATTATTGCACATCAGCTGAATTAAGGTAACTGCTGTGAGCCCATGAAAAATGAGAGGTGGTATTAACAGAGACTTAAACGAGAAATGGGCCAAACACTGCACACAGGTGACTACTGCAGCCTCCTTGCTATTGTTCCTACTGAGGCACAGAAATTTGACCACAGATCTAAGATTCTGAAAATATCTGATGCTAGATGTGCCAAAGGAAAATATGGGGCAGTCCTAACACAAGTCAATGGGCAAAACTATACTTTGGGGTGGAAATGCCTTTCCTTTGCCAGTTGCTGACCAGATAATCCTGGGAGCCCAAGAGTGATGCTTCTAGGCAGTCTATACCAGGCAGTGAAGATACAAATGCTATTCATTACTTAAATGTTCTATAGTACATACATACTCTTATGCCTGCATCCCCATTCAGTCATCAAAATCTATTTTCAGCCAGAAGATCCTTGAAGTGATAGAATTATATTTCATCACAATTAATTCAATCTTCCTCTTCTGTGCAAAAGCCGCAGATTCCTCTCAACCTTGCAGCTTTATTTAAAACCTCTTGAACAAATTCTTGTCCTGATTCTTTCATTACAGCTGTGTAACATCCCCAGGAGTCACAGACTATTTTATAAGCAGCCACTAACAAGTTGTGCCTGCGCTGAAAGGACACAAAGTAGTGCAGCTGCAACTACAACTGGACCGAGATCAATCCCAGAAAAGCCGAAAGAGCAGCAAAGTGGGTTTGAAACCAGGTTGCTGAACTTACAAGGCTTCCAGGCAGTGTGGAGCCCAGGCAGTGTGAGCTTGTAAAGGACACAGACATACCCTATGTCACAGAAAAAGCAAAAGAGAAGAGATCAAGCTCTTACGCCTGCCTAGCCTGCTCGATGGGATCGAAGTTGTCGAGGTAGTTGAATCGGATGGTGTCTGTAGGATGCCTGTCTGATGAACGCCATGGTGGGAGCACTTTTTTCTCCTTATTTGTCCTCCTTCCTGGCACAGAAAGTTTTGCCTCTGGGACGTTGCTTCTTACCGGTTGCACATCAATAACTACAAACTCATCCTTTGAAGGAGTCTAACAAAAGAAGAAAATAAACTTTAGCCTATAATGAAAATGAGGTTTATTTTGCCTAACTTTAGACTTCTAAGAATTGGGTATTAACTCAAAATTGGTCTTTCCAGGCTCCATTATGGTCAGTGGACAGTAATAGTCATCCTGACAGTGCATGTCATCACCCATGTACCAAAATATGTACTAAGATAAGCTGAGCTGCTTTTGACATGCATTGGCTTCTCTGTATTGAATACAGAGAAAGTCTGTGGGGGAGTTTGGTTAAAGTTAGAGGGCTGAGTTTTGAATTGAGGGCAGAAGAATCCCACCCTCACAGCCCTGTAAACCAGGCATGGCATCAATGAATCTCAGGAGAAAGCAATGGCTGCTGAGTAATGTTCCACCTCCCCAGAATGGCCCTGCCAGCTTTGAAGAAGAAAGAAAGAAAGAGGCAACACCAAGGGCTTTAATAGGCATAATGGGTGCTTTTTTCCTTTCCATCAGGTAAACTGTCTCTGAAATGTCAGCAGAGGTGATGCTCAATACCAATCTCTGCTTATCAAATTGAGACAAACTATCATATGCTCTATAAACTGGGGGAAAAAGAGAAGGGAACAGCCTTGAGTGCCGGAGAGGGAAATTTAGAGGATTTCTCCAGAGCACCCTGAAAGTATAGCAGAGACGTTGGTGGTTGCTTCCGCTTAACTGGTGAGATTCTCACTTCCCATCTACCAGGATGGATGACGGGAAACTAGAGCGCATGGCACCACAAGAGTTTAGATTCTAATTTAAAATTATGTATTTCCATTTTATTAGTGGGAGATTACAGAAAGATAAAGAGGAAAAGGGGTTAGACACCTGACCAGCCCACTTTTCCCACTGGCCCTGAACATCTCTGGTGGTGGTAGGTTGGTATGTACCTTTGGTCTGGTGACATGCAGCTCTTTCACCATCTCAATGTAATGTTTCTTCCAGATTCCTTGCTCAAAGGGGGTTGGAGAGAAGTTGATGTACCAGCCAAAACGCAGGCATTTCAGCATCCAGAGCTGATCCAGTTCAGACAGGTACTTCCAGTACCAGCTCACCTGTGAATGCCCAGTAAGTTGAACACCTTGGGGTTTCAAGAATCCAAGATTGCAGCTAGAGAGTTCTTTGCTGTGCATGTAATTCCTCTATGTCTTTGAACTAGTACAATTCTTCAGCACTCTTTATGCTCCTTTCAAACCTTTGATTAAACCATTCAAGATCAGCATGACATACTCAGTGCCTGAGTGTCAGCTGATCTCCAGTGCAGGGTAAAATATTCCAAAAATCACTGGCCAAAGGGCAAGTTTTCAGCCTGTTTGGGGCAACTTCCTGCACTTCTACTCAGTAAGTGTACAGTAGTTGGAATAAACCCTCTGTTTCCACTGACAAAACAGCATCAATAAACTCCCCAAGTCTGACAGACCTGTTCTGAACATTTTCTCCTTACTCGTTCTGCTGTTACACTCCATCACACAGTCACCTTGCATGCAACGCTTGTTCCAGCTTAAGGACAAACATCATCTATTGGCACTGCCATGCTTCTAATAGCAGCTGTCCAATGATATGACACAAGTAGCACTGTAAAAACCTATCTTTCTAAGGAAGTAATTTCCTAATCTGTCTTCTCCCTGCCTGTGAATGAATAGTGTGAGTTGCATCCACATAAAACAGGGAATGCTGGGGAAAGGCACTAGAGCAAGCTTTAAACAAGCTGAGATTTTGATAAATTCGTTGTATGACATAGAGTACTATGTTAGTGCAGTAGTAATGTCACCAATATCTGAACTTATTAATTCAGAACTACTGTGGGCATCACCTCACAGCACTTTATCTCATGCAAACATATTTTTGGACTATTAGCTCAGACTGTGCTCAAAATACTGAAGCCCTGGCCGTTGTGCTCAAAAGCACATCTGTAGCTTCTCTGCTTCTCCACAACCAACATTTTACCCCCAAGCATTTTAAAGGATCTGGTTTTCATAAAGCCTCATGTGCAGTTCTTTGCAACTAGCACAAGCTGATACTTTTCAAAGCAATTATTGATTCTGCACACAGTGCAAGGTACTTTAAAAGAACATGATTTTCAGAAAGTACCAGGCATCCTTCTTGGGAAGCTTCAGTCTTGTGAAGTGCCACATTTTAAATGCCTTAGAGCTGAGCACCTAAAATTACTCTTCCCTTTTGTAAATCTTAGACAATCTGGCTTAATTTAGGATCTGTGGAAGTGTTGCATCCAGTCTCATACAAGCGTCACTAAGCATTTGGCACCGGGCTGCCAAGTCAGAAGACATCCTTGCATTATGAAGAACAGCACTGGTATGTCTTTGCGGAAAATTAGTGCTGTTTCTTTTTTTTTTAACTAGCTTGACTGGACTTTCTGAACCTTAGGTACGTGTTGGCTTTTTTACCTGTGCACATCGACAGAGGCTCCGTGGATCCAGGAAGGAAAAGATGTATAAAGACAGGACTCTAGGAAGCCTCGTGGTAAAATCTAGAGCCTCGGTGGGGACTCGATCCTGTAGCTGCTTGGCACAGAATTTCTGCTGTGACGGGGAGCAGCGTTCCAACAGGTCCACCAGGATCTTCCGCCTCTGACCATCTGTCCACTTGTCAAACTGAAAAAAGGAGTTTCAGGTTCTGAGGAACCGGAGAGTCAGCTTCTTAAAATAAATCATACATTTAAGGCAAGGGAAAGTGCATAAGCAGCAGCTTCTGGTGACTCACTCAAGACCAAAGCACGTAGGAACTGGGAACAAATGGAGAGGCTACATTAAAAGAAACTCTGAAGCCACAAAACATATGATTTATAATCCTCAAAGGATCCAGGATGGCCTAGTCCAGGACACACTCATGCTCACAAGACTCTTTGCTCCTGGGACCAGCTCCGAGACTTGGCGTCACTCATGGAAAGGAGGAGACTCGGATGTGTGTTTACAGGATCAAGTCCCAAATTATTATGAGTTCACCGCTGATTCCTCATCTATCCTGACACTTCTATGGCCCTCACTACTGCAATATTTGAGTGCCTCACAATTTGTAAAGTATTTATTCTCACAATCCCACTGCATAGGAGAGAAACCCCCACTACAGAGAAGTGGAGCAAAGAGAAACTAAACCAGCTGCCCACGTATCACAAAGAAAATCTGCTGCACAGATCTGGCAGTACAGTAACAAAGATTTTTCACAGCATTTCTACGCTTATGGCAGGTATCTAAAGAGGTGGATTAAAACAGTTGTGGGAAGAAATGAGCACTTAGGTAACCACACAAGCATGTTATCGCTTTGCTACGATGGCAACAACTCTGCATTGAGCAGAGTGGGGCAGAGCTGTGTAAACAGGGTGGGAGCAACGGTGGCGGTGGCTGGTGTTTAACTTGGGTTGATAGCAGAGGATGGAAAGGGCCCTGTCAGCAGGAATCTCCTGGGAGGAGACTGACCTCATCGCCACAATCTGTGCAATCTGTCTCAAAACCTGCAAGAGCAGTCCTGGCTTCGAGGGCAGCGCAGAGTGCCAGGAGGGAGGAAATGTCAGAGGACCACGGCAGTGGCTGCAGGCAGGAGCAGCAGGAATCCCCCGGCGGGAACTGCCGGCACGCTTAAAGATGGATTTCCAGAGGAGGAATACAGACTTCGGAGAAGTCCCGCTTCATCCTCCTTCCTAGCACAGCACGAGCAGCCTCGACCCAAACTCACCTTCTTTCTGAACTGTTTGGGGAATTCCCCTGTTTGGGGAATGCTGCTTTTCCCCGTTGGTTTCTTTCTCACGCGTTGGCCACCCCAAAAACATGCACCCTGCTTTCACGGGACTGTTCCCTGACGCCAGCTTTCCACAGCTGACAACTTGCTCTCCACAGGTCAAATCACAGCACATTCATATTTTGCATTTAACCTCAGGGACATTTGAAGTCCTTATTTAAATGTGAACTCCAAAAATTAAAAATAATAAGAAAAACCATGCATTTCTTCCAGTATTTATTTTGTTATTGTGGGTAAATGGTTTAATGTCCAATGTCCCTTCCTTTCCCTTTCAGAACAAAACAGACTAGAAATTCATTTTTTTTTTTTTTCTCTGTTTCTCCCCGAAAAAATCTATGGTCAAGTGGAGGAGTGGCAGAATAACAGTTGAAAATATACTGTGCAGATGAAAGGTAATTAAGAAGCAATTTTTTTCCAGATAATTTTAAAGAACTCTTTGTTTCTTTATTTTTGCTTGGCTGTATTTAATTCCACTATTGGAGGATGAACTCTAAGAATTAAATATCTCTTCTCCTTCTTGCAAACACCTCTGCAAGACCTTCAGGAAGGTCAGCTGGAAGAAAGAGTGGAATTGGCATTCCTGGGATCCCAGAAACAAAAAGCCAACAAAAACAAGAAAGCTCCCAAATGTCCATCCCTTTTCAGACACAGGCAGGGAATTAAGGAATACACCCTTTTCCTCCCATCCCTGTTTTGCATATAACTTCCACCTATAATGACATTTAGCAGAGTACTAATGAAAAACTGAAGCAGGACCTTTGGATTTGGGGCTTAGAAACATGTTCCCTGAGCATAAAATCAAAGGTGTACCAGAGGGGGACAGAGCAGGTTCTGCCCAGCCCCTTCTCACCCTCAACATGATATTAAAGGCTTTCTCTGTCACACGGTGAAGGGGGAAAGCTTCTGCTGCACACCCCATTCACGATCACAGCTACATCCTCTTCTCATTAAAACAATCCGCAATCACCAAAGTGCAAAAATAAATTTCTCCTATAGAAGTTCCAGACACAAGGGGGAACTGACTTACTCTCCTCCACACCAAGAGATTAAGTGAACTAATCAAAGCAAATCCAGCTTCTTTTTCAAGAAGACAGAATATTTGCTCCTTTTTAACTCTTCCCATTCTGCCACGAGTTTTGCAATAAAGCAGTTCCTTCCAGCATCCTCAGCCTGTGCTTACTCTGCAAAGGAAACTCCATTTAAATCAGCGCCACACAGTCAGGAGCATGGGAACACGCAGCTTCTTCTCCACTGCATTCAGCAGCAGCCAAGTAGTTAAGCAGGCGTAATTTGTCTCTTTTCCAGTATTAACAAGCACGTCCCCATCCTACATTCAGCTGCCTTTCTCCCCAGTTCCTCCCCTTGCATGTGATTACAGCAACCCAACCAGTTGGACTGGATTCCCCTTTTCAAGGTGCTGCACCTTCTCTCTCCACAGCTAGGAACACTTTTTCCTTTTTCTGTGCCTTTCCCCGAGCCCTGGCAAACAATGTCTCCCCAGGGACTGTATGACATAAGGCTATGCTGGCAATGCACAGTGCTCAGTCCTGGCTTCTGCGATCAGTTTACAATTAATCCATGAGTGCACACACACAAATAAGGCAGGCTGACAGTAAGGGGAGAGCCCAGGACCTCAGTGCCAAAGTACAGAGGCTCTGCCGCTTAACCTAAAGAGGCCCCTCTCCTCTGTGAGAGACAGGTTGTTTTACTGACTCGAACTAGCCACTGAAATGGGACACAATCCTCATCTCCAAACCAGCATATCGACATGAGTTCACAGGGTTACAATCACACGCAGGCATCCCCGTGCTCTGCAAATGTAAGACTGAATTCGCTAGTCAACAAGGCTCTTTTGCTGAATTGCTTGCAAGTAGATGGAGATGATTCACTTAGGGAGAAGAAATTTTCCCCTCCCTCCCCACACATCTTCTCCTGGTCCTGATGAAGGGATTTGCTGGAGACCTGTGACCTGGGTGAGCAGAGAAGGGATGAAACAGATAGGCACCTGATATCCGTAAAATACACTAATCCACCCAATGAAATCCCAAACATCTCTGCTGCCAAGCAGCTCCATGCCAGCAATTAGCAACTAGCCCCTCTTCCTTTTTGCTTTCAGCGCTGTAGTTAAACAACTAAACCTGAAATTTTGCAAGAGGAGACTCTTGAGAAGACTGCTGAGGAAGGCAAGCTGGCAGCCTGGTGATAAGAAGCACCCCTGAGCAGAGGAGCCATTGCTCCTGCAGCTTGGCACCGAGCATGGGGTCAGCTCCTGGGTAAAGAATTGTCTGTAGGTGGGGGTCTGTGGTGAGTAGGGCTGGGGTTCAGCTGCTCAAACACCAGTCTTGTGGGGTATCCTGCAAAGTCTAAAGCTGCCACTCCAAGGGTGACAGTTCTCTGCAAGTCCTGCATCGTATCTGCCATGATATGAGAGGTAGATAATGAGACTAAGAGGTAGATAATGCATATGTCCCCACTATCATACTCTCACCCTTCAAACTGCGATCCAAACTGGATCCAAACTGCGAATTTGGCATGGTTCCTGGCCCTGGCTAATGTCTAAATTGTGTCTGAACAATGTCTGGAAGAGTGCTACGGGCCCAGGCCAAAATCATGCCAGGGAGCGTGCTAACAATTTCATAGTGTGGATGAGCAAGTTCCAGTGCCTGGGTACGCTCAGATTTGCTGTATAAATTACTAGCAGAAGATGTAGCCCACAGGGTGAGCTGAATCACTGTCTGGGCTCCCCTGACTTGTCTACATCTCATTTGGCTATAATGGAGGCTGAGACACTCAGATCACCCAGAGACACTGAAGCTTAGGTGTCTTAATCTACAAGTTCAGCCCCAGCTTCATTGTCAACTTATTAACCTGAGTGTCAGCATGATAGCACTGTGCATTAAGGTAGAGCAAAATGCTTTTATGTTTTTTAAATTAATGGGAGGAATTTTTGGCTTGCAGAACACAGCAGAAAGGGAGGCTGAAGCAGCACGTCAAGGCATCTGCCCTGGGTGCAATACAGAATAAAAGAAACTAGAATAAAATAGAAAAATTAAGAAAGAAATGTTAACCCTTTCACGGTTTAACCATCAAAAGGGTTTCAACTGAAAGACAGCAACATAATTTCTCTTTTATAGGTATCTGGATAGTATTTGGGTAAAGGAGTTGGTGTGAAGGAAATTTCATTGCAAATGCCTCCAGCAGGATCAAAGCCTGCAAATACTCATACATGGCTGCCACTACACACCACCACTGCTTCCACTCTGCAGCAATAATACTTTGTGGAGCTGAGCGCAATCTGAGACAGACAAAAAAATGTAGAGGGCCCCATCGTGTGTCTTGGATACTGCAGGTGACAGCACAGCCAGTCCCATGCCCTTTGGAGCTGCCCAGGAGCGCAGAAACAGAGAAATAAAATCCCTCAGGCCAGCTTGTTCATCATTTCTCAACCAGTGTCATATGGACCACAAGAGCCTGGGAGAGATCAAAGATGTTCTCTGCCAGAATCGAAAAAAAATAACTAAATGAAAATTCACATAGTCTCTGAATGCATGTAAATAAAATCAGGAAGAATAAAATAAGCAATGACCATCCAAAGTTTAATCTAATCTTTATTTGGCTGTAAAGGAAAACCACTGTGGCGATGCCACACAAGGCAACCTGCTCTGCTTTCCCAAAATGTTGGATGGTCCTTTGCTGTAAAAAGGTTGAGAAGCACTGAGCTAGTTCATCTCCTGCTGCAAGGCAGGATCCACTCTACCTAAATGATTCCTGACAAGTGTTTGTCTAACCTCTTCTCAAAAGACTCCAGCGATGGAGATTCCACCCCTAGCCCCCAGGCAAGCTACTCCGGCAACGAATTATCTGCAACATTGGATTTTGCTGGTGTCTAAATTGTGTCTCCATCATTGCAGTTCAAGCCTTCTCATCCTATCCAGTGCAAACACAGAGATCGGATCATTCCCTTCCTCTTTTGTGTGTCATTGGAAAGATGTTCTCATATCTTTTCTCCACAGTAAAGGGATTGTTTTCCTATTTTCTAGACCTGAGGCCGTTCTCACATATGACACATTCTCAGAAGTATCTCCAGCTGGTCCCCAGCTTTCTCAAAATGCAGAGGCCAGAACTGGGGATAGCTCTGCTTTACAGACAGCCCTTTGGGATATTTCTCTTTACTACAATTATAAGACACTGTCAGCTGATATTCAGTTTGTGATCCACCATAATTCCCAGCAATTTTTTATGCAGAACTGCTGCATACTTGGGTTTTCTCAGATCTGCAGTTTTTGTAAATGTCATTCTTACATGTATCACTTTTCACTTGTCCTTATCAAACTGCAGATCGTTTCATTCTGATTTCTAATCTCCAAAGTTCATTAAATCCTTCCAAGCCTGGTATCATCTGCAGATGAGTATGTACTTTCTATTCCATCACCCAGATATTATTGAAAATGCTTAACAGTTCTGGACTTAGGACAGACTTCAGCCTTCCAGATTCATAATAAAGCATTTACAACTACACTGAATATGGGTTCCCAGCCGTACAAACCCACCCTTCAGCAGTTTCATCTAGTCCATGCTTCCCGGGAGCACTTTCTGAAGGTCATGTGAATCAATGTAAAAACTCCTGCCCAGAGCACTGTGATTTCTTGACAGTTTCTCTGGGAGTGCTCCAGGCTTTGCATACCACATATTATAATGCCACAGGCTTTGAAGGGAGTGAAAAGCAGGTTTTGTGCTTTCTGCCCTGTTTTCATTGGTTTGACGGATGACAGAAGTGCAAGGAGAATTAGATCTGAAGAAATGTGATGAGAGCTACTGATCTAGTGTCATATGAAGGGTCAGAAATTTAACCTTTGAGAAGATGATCCAGCACTTGTGTGTTTGGAGGAAGGCTGTTTCCAGATTTTGGCTCTTTCACTGGGATTTCTAATGAAAACATTTTTGCCCTTTTGCCAGTATATCCCATGGGCATTTTAAAACATCCAACAATTTTCAAGAGACAGTTTTTAGGTCTGTCAGTTACTGACTATCATGCTAAAAGGTGTTTTTTTGAACAATAATCATTCAATTATTTTGTTTTCTTGGTGTCCATGAAATTTCTTAGTATGAAAATGAATGCATGTCAACAAGTTATGGAAATCGTATTTCCTATAAAGTTTAATAATTCTTATGGGCTTAAAATCAAAATACTTGTCTGTAAAGACCAGTGCATATGCAAAAAATTTCTGTGAGTGACCTATACAGCATAGAGAATATGCATCATAGTTTAAATAAAGTTACTGTGCAAATACTCTTTATCAAAGAGTGCTGATAAGGAGCATCATATCTATATTTCTGTTTAGCTTGTGTATCATATGTGACCACATAACTGGTTCTTTGGTTCCATTTAAAAAGATGTGCACAGGTCTCAACCATACAGCTACTACTGAGCCACATTAATGCATGCAGCTGAATTCACTCATTTATTGCAATAAAGTCCCTGAGTCTGCATTCTTGTTTGCAAAGGAGACTGAGCAGATAACGGCTGCTTTCCCATAATGGCCCGTAAACGGATTTTGCCATATAAAAGAGAAAGCACAGTGCGATATTTATGGAGTGATCTTAGGACTAGAGCAAATCTGGTGTCATTGCATGCTCTGCCATCAGCTTCCTGGGTAGGTCAGTCAGAGTTGGATTCCTCTCAAGCAGCCAGCTATGACTCCCTTTATAGGGTAAGGAAAGAAACAGGCATCTCCAGGGGGCTGATTTCTCATCCTACATCAAGTGAGAAGAATTACCCTCTGGAAATACCGTTTTCTCTCTGTTGACTCTACAAGGACCCTGTGATGACCAGACCAGTCAGGCTTAAATATTCTGTTTCAGACATGCACACCTGGCTAGAGAAACCCCATCCCGAATGCCTAACTTGCTGTCACTTGTGGTTGAGGCAGACAAATCCTATCTCATGTCTTTCTGTGCCTCATCTTTTCATCTGCGAAACAGGGTGACAGCACTTTCCTGTCTCATGTTGGAGCTGTGAAGATAATGCCAGTAAGAAATTGTGAGGTGCTCAATGATTACAGTATTAGGAGCCATATGCGTGCATTTGGTAGATAACATGTCATTTATTACGGGTTTCAAAGACCTGCTAGCAGGCAACGGCAATACCTAAATATCTAGTCTTCTCTTTGAAGACTTCACAGACCTTTCCCAGGTTTCTTATCCCGTTTCAGATAATTATGATGATGGAATATGATTTCCCAAGTTCAGAGCTTCCAGAATGCAGGCACAGAGGGAATTCACACCTTTACCTTCTTCAAAAGTAGAGCAGTTACAGCTCACTTTCACATCAGGAAATTAACTCTTTTTTCAAAATAAGATAGGCTTTACATTCCCATTATAATAATCTCTTGATTAGTTCAGAAATCTACCTACATTTAAATATATATTTAAAGAGAAAAGTTTACCCATTTTCCAAGCAGGGCTCTTCTTTCTTCAAAAACCTACAATACGTACACACACACATACACAAAAATGAATATTTAAAGGGGATTCAATATGTCCTAAGAAAAGTACAGCTTGAAAAACAGTCTACAAAATATAAACAGAATCACTGAATGGAAGAGTTTGGAAGAAACCTGTGGAGATCCTTTAGTCCAAACTCCCTGCTAGGGTCAACTAAAGCAGGTTGCTCAGGGTCATGTCCAGATGGGTTTTGAAAGTCTTCCTGGCTGGAGGCTCCACAACCTCTGTGGTAACTTGTTACAGCGTGTGATCACCCTCACAGTAAGAACATTTTTTCTTATGTTTAAATGGAATTTCCTGTATTTAAATTTGTGGCTATCACCTCTTGTCTTTTCACTGGATGGCACCAAGAAGAGTCTGGCTCTGTCTTCTTTACCCCCTCCCATCAGATATCTATACACATTGATAAGGTCCTCCATGAGCTTCTCTTCTTTAGGCTGAACAACCTCAGATCTCTCAACTCTTCCCTATACATTCTCCAATTCCTTAATCATTTTTGCAGCCTTACTCTGGCTTTGTTCCAGAAAGTCCATGTCTTCCTTGCACTGGGGAGCCCAGAAACAGACACAGCATTCCAGATGTGTCCTCACCAGTGCTGCAGAGGGGAAGGATCACCTCCCTTGACCTGCCACCTACATTCCTCCTAATGTAGCCCAGGATGATGGTGCCTTTCTTTGCTGCCTCATAGTTACCTTGGTATTCAACAAGACCTCCACATCATTCTCTCTCAAGCTGCTTTCCAGACACTCAGCCCATTTCTCTAGCCTGTCAAGGTCTCTCTTAATCACTGAAACAACCTGCTCAGGGAGATGGTAGAGTCCCTGTTGCTGGAGATTTTCAAGACACCGTTGGACAGGAGGCTAGATAATCTCCTCTAGGCTCCCTTTCCCATGAAAGGTTGGACCAGATGCTCTTTTCACGTCCCTTCCAACCTGGGCTGTTCTATGATTCTATGATTTATGAGAGCACAAACATCTGGTCTATCAATTACTCCTCACAATTCTGTATCATCTACAAACTTGCTGAGGGTGGACTCTGCCCCATCATCCAAGTTGTTAATGAAGATTTTCATTGATCCTGGCTCCAGTGTAAACCCCTGGCATACTCCACTAGTGACTGGCCTCCAGCTGAACTTGGTGCTGCTGATCACAATCCTTTGAGGCCAGTAAGGCAGTCAGTTTTCAGTCCCCCCTGACTCTCCATTCAGACTTCAGCAGTTTGGCTACAGGAATGTTATGGTAGACAGCATCAAAAGCCTTACTAAAATCTGAAAATCAATTAGTTTTTCTGCACCTCTCTTCCCTCCAGGATCACATAACATGTGATTCTTCCACACAGATCCCTGAAGAGGTCAAAGTCTGCTCTCCTGAAGTCCAGGGTTGTGATCCTGCTATTTGTCTTGTTCTTTCCTCTCAGCATCCTGAACTCCATCATCTGTCGGTCACTGCTGCCAACATTGTCCCTGACCTTCACATCCCCAACCAGTCCTTCCTTCTTTGTAACTATGAGGTCCAGCAGAAGATCTTCCCTTGTTGGTTCCTTGATGACCTGTGTCAGGAAGTTATCGTCAATGCACTCCTGAAACCTCCTGGATTGCATGTGCCCCACTGTGCTGCCCTTCCAGCAGATATCAGGGTGGTTAAAGTTCCCCGTGAGGGAACATAAGGCTTCTTCCAGTTGTCTGAGGGAGGCCTCATCTACTTCTTCCTGATCTTCTTCAACTCTACAGGCTGGTTGCTGTGGAAGGTTCCTTTCACTGAAGAAGACTCCCTAAAGTTCAAGGGCTATGTGTGCACAACAGTGAAGGACAGCTCTGCAGACTGGCTGCAGTGTGCTTCCTCTCATCTCCAGCTCCCTTCTTTGCAGCTACTGCACACACGATGTGCTCACATAGCGCTCTACTCTTTTGGGCATACGGTGATGCAGGGTGTCTCCCATGCTTTGGTGAAACCAGAAGCTGGGCTTCCCATCTCTTCATTTTACAAATTTCAGTTCTCCTGAGTTGGAGACATTGGGTTCCTGAAATCTAGAGTGGATACAACATGAGTAGATATTACACAGCCCTCGTGATGGCTTCAATCTTATCACAGCAAGACTGTTAGGACTAAGACTGTAAGACCAGTCCTTCTTCCCTGGCCACTTTACAGTGACAACTAAAAAGAAGGATGTTAAGTATCCAAATACAGTGGAGGATTTATGATGTTGACCTTTATCCATAGGGATCTAGACCTGAAAGCACTAGCATGTGGCTTCCCACTACCACAAAACTGCCTTCTATACTCAGGATTGTGACCTGGGAAAAGAGGAAATGCTGTAGATGATTTTTCCAGAAGACAGATCAAAGAGGAAAAATCCCAACTTATAACTGCACATAAAAACAGCTATTAACCACAACTAGGAAAACATGCTTGATCATTATAAACTCCAAACATGTTATTGCTATGACAGCCTGCAAAGAAGGTTCCTGCAGAGAAAGACATTATCAGTGCTGCAGTGATACAGCAGTTGACAGCCTTAACTCTGTCTCTCTCAGCAGGAGCATCTCTTGTGACAGGTGGAAAATGACATTTCTTTTATTTGTATGTTGACAGTTTTTATTTGCTTTATTTGCATATGGGACACTTGACAAAGCAAAACAAAACAAAACAAAACAAAACCCCTAGCAAGCTGCACTTGGAAAAGGATTTGCCACAAGCAAGTGATGAATAGTCAGAGATCTAAGTTTTGGGTTGGATAATTCAAGGGAAGCAGGGAGCTATTTATATAACTGAAAGCAATGTTAATGGTCTTTGATCAAAGAAAGACATATATTTGCTCTCAGCGTTCTTGGAGATACATCTGAGCCAACTCTGTCAAAAAGTTCTGCATACTCCAGGCACTTGGAAGCATTAATTAGCAACAGAATGGCCCAGAATTGGTATAATCATCCACTACCTTAATCAAGCCCATGTTTACTATCCTCTCCTCCGAGGCCTTGGAGTTATACCTGTAGCGTGCTTACGCTGGCTGGCCTTGGATGCAGCCTGAGGCCTAGCTTGCTCCTTAGATCAGCCATCTCACATCCACACCTTCAGGTGGTTTTAAATACGCTCAAGTTCAAGGCTGTCTGGCAAATCCCTCCACCCTGTGCTGCAAATGCCACTGGAGGCTCTTCTACCCCACACCTGAATTACTGCCCAGCAGAAGGCAAATCATCTCCCAGTTTCCAGTCCTCCCTTAAAGGCAGCACACAGCTCTGCACTTAGCAGGACTGACGCTGAAATCTGCTCGCTTTTGCTGCTGGTGAACAGGCTGCCCCATCTCTTACCTTTACGTCATCCTTAACCGTAGCACAACCTTGCCATATCTGACTCCACCTCTGCTTTTCTGACCATGAATGCTGCATAATTGGAGGCTTCCTACTCCTGGCTTCTTGACTTTGGTCCATCCCTGATGGTGATCCTGGCTTTAAAACAATCATGACTGCCCATGTCCCAGTGGTAACACCCTGAATAGTCTTTTCTGTCCTAACAGCTGCTGTAAGGGCAGAAAACCATAGAAGGAGGCAGCAGGACGTGGGATGCACGATCGGCAGGAGAGAGCTGGGTCCTATCACCAATGCGGGCAAAAGTACTCTTAAGCATGTTTGAAAATCCAGGGAAATCTACAGGAACTACTAACACAGTACCTCCAGGATTACCCAAAATTAGACAGGTAGCAATTTTATGCAAATTTATGCTACTAACTGCTCTTGGGTCTGCTCCTAACAATGGTTTAGATGGCACTTAAATGTTTCGGCCTTGAATCAGCTCTGAATTCCCACCACTCCTGCCCCTCATTGCTTGTTCTACTGACAAGTACATTTCTTACACATCTCTTCTTTCTGTGCTTTCATCTTCTCACTGTTTTTCACATACTTTCTATCTATAAATTCTTTTCTCTCTTCATGCTTTCTCTTAACTCAGGAGTGCAGAAATGAACAGAGATGACTGTATGAAAATGGCACCTTCTCACTCACTAACTCCTTATATCCATCAATTGGATTATCTCCTGATTTCAGTTGTCAGCAGTATTTTCATTGCAACTATTTTTTTTCCTGCTAACGCTGCAGAGTAATATAGTGATATACAAACAAGAGTTTCAGGTAAGTCAGTGCTTTAAAACCTGGATCAGAAACAAGCTAATGCCTTTTATCATTCATTTCATCACTGAGCACAGGTCTGGGACCTTATGGTATGCTCTTTCTTACCTGCAACATCATTAAGCATTGGAGTATACAACAATCTAGTATAAGCACTGGAAAGTTTTGCTGCAGCCCAATGCAACATCAGACTGACTAAGGAGCAGGGGAATAAGAAGATGGGAAAGTGTGGTTTTGCCAGTTAGATCATACTTTATTGCAGTGATGCACATCTGCAAAAAATATGTTTTAAAGGGTGTAGGAAACAGACATTAAAATGATTCAAAGGCTGGAGAAGATGCCAGACTGAAAGGACTTCAAAGAGCACAATCTGTTTAGTTTATCAAAAAAAGTTCAAGTGTTGGCTTGAAGCAGGGTAAAAGTCCTTCCACAAGGAAAAAATACTGATTACGGAAGAGTTTAATAAGCTTGCAGGGGAAGATTTAAATTATGGAAGCTAATGCTAGAAGTATTCAGACAGGAGACAAGGTTTCATCTTTTCATAGTACAGGAGATTAATCATGTGAAAATTATTAGGGAAATGATAACATTTTCATTTATTAAGGAATGAAGGTCCTTAACCCCAAAGGAAGTCTGGATACCTTTGTAGAAGATATATTCTAGCCAAATTCTAGTTACTGAGCTCAAGACTGGGAGAACTGTCTGAAACAAGAGGGCCCAAGAAATGGAGGAAGACAGGCTACATGATGTAACAGCCCACTCCAGATTAAATTCTATGAATCATCAACTGAAATTTAAACTGAATTCTGAGGGAGGAATATGCTCCTGGTGCTATATGAGCCAAAAAACCCTCAGTTATGTTAGCAGATCCCAGATATAGTATACAGAGTGGGAGGTTAGGAAATGTATCTCGTTATTTATAAATTGAGTGCATCACTTCAGTTTCTAAAATATCAAGCTAGCCCCGTCACTGCCAGGCTTAGCAGAGAAGCCAGAGCACGGGTACTAAGGCCTTTCCTACCAGTTGAGACGGAGCACACCAGCCACTCGGAAACTTACACTGACACCCAGTTTGCTCTGGGGTTAAACTGAAGTCTTCTGGTGCAGAAAAAGAATGATTTGGCAACTTTCAGTAGGAAATGAATACACATATTTTGTTTGAAGGACACTGATTAGGTAAAATAACAATACTTGAGCTAAATACTTGTATGCTTTAAACAATGTACATTAGAGCTTTCAGTTTTTACATAACATCAGGTTTTACATATATAATAAAGACCGTGTGTGTGTTTGTTGATAGATACATACTTCTAATAGTAAACAGTATCTTTAAATTCTTATTCCATTACTCATAATCTACACAGGCAAAAACATAAAATAAATTTTTCTGCAACTTGAGAATTCATGAAGTGAACCTGAGAATTTGCTTTAAGATTTGAGAATATTCAAAACCTGACCAGACAAGATCCTGAGCAAACGCTCTAGCTGATGCTGCCTTGAGGAGTTGGACTAGATGTTCTCCAGGAGTCCCTTCCAACATCAATAATTCTGTGATTCTATGAATTTGACCCATTTGCATGGAACTTGCCTTGTCATTCATGAGTTGATGGTTCAGTGGAGTCCATGTGCTCATCTTGGTCTGTAGCTTGGGGCCATCCATGTTTCTAGGAGGTGCAAATGCCATAGATATAGGAGATGGTGGGTCCTCTGATGTCTTGCAGGCACCGATGGCTACAACAATTGAACAGAGCAAAGATCAACATTATTTTTCTGCTACTCCATTATAGTATGTTAGTGAAAAACAAATAATTCTAAGAAGGAGTCCAATGATTTCATAGCATAGCAATGATACAAGTATAATTATTTGAAAGTCAGTTAGGGTAAGGGCTTTTATTTTATGTACCCACAGTAACTGGCACAGTAAAGGCCAAATTTCCTGATGGAACCTCAGTGCACTAATGTAATATAAATACTTAATAATTAAGCAGGTCTTTCCCATCATAATTATTACTGAATATGCCTTTGATTTTTGCTGCATGAATGATCACAATTGGGTATTTGCACCGAGCTAGAAAGTACACAAAATTTCTCTTTCCAGTTGTTGCCACTGAAAATTGGAGATAACGTGTGCATCTACTTAAGAGACACCAGCTAGGATTTTACTGATTGTGATGGGCATATAATGCCAAGTCTCAGAAGGCCAGTTTGTTTCTGTAAAACTTAAGTGGAAGAATGAAATCCAGAACGGTTCAGAATTGACTGAAATCTCTCAGGGTCCTGTGTTCAGGCAGATTGTTTTTGATGGTTTGGTCTGACTGTGCTGCTCTTTTAAACAAAAATTTCTATGTGAAATAAATTGGACATTTACTAAAATTTTCCCTTCCCTTTTGTGACACCAAGTAACTGGGCTTTGTTCAGACAAAGTAATTTCTTCATAAATTCTTGCCCAAACATAGGAAAAGCTTTTTTTCCTTCATCTTCTTTCCTGCAGCTGGATTCAGCAGGATAATGTCATTGCTCACCTCAGGCATCCAATTTCCAGACTGGAGGCTTAAGCTGCAGCAGACTGAAAACCAAGTAATTTCTTTACCACATTAAAAAAATATCTCGGTTCCCTGCATATAGTTATTAGGCAATTTTTCTGTAAACACTTCAGGTTGCTTTAAAGCTTCATGGTCACAAGGTGAATAATAGGACTTTTGGAACAAAAGAAAAGGCAAACCTACTAAATAACTCCAGTATTGTGTTGCCAGCCTACCCTGAACCCAAGCACCTCAACACCCACTCAGCAAAAGAACCTTTCTAGGATTAGTTTTTCCTCTCTTTCTTTCCTAAATTATCACATAATCAAAGAAATAAAAAGAAAAAAATGAAAAATCTGTTATATCTTTCTCTCTGCACCTTATATGGTCTGTGGTTAGGAAATAAGTTCATTACAAGAGTCTGAATTCTTTCTCTATTTCTTTTTTTTTTTTTTTTTTGCTAGAGATCCTTAAATAACTTTGTTTGCACACTCCAATTTTAACTTCCCTGAGAGATGCCACTGAAAACGAAAAGATTTACTAAGGTTTCAAAGCCTCACATTCTGTAGTTGGTCAACGTTAGAGGCTTCTTGTGCAAGTGAGTAGGTGCATTTGGGATACACATTACGATGGGATCACTTACTGGTTGGTTTTGTTTTGTTTTGTTTTTCTGCAGTGCCCCTGCCCTTTTCAATGCACAGAAATACAACATCACAAGCTAGAGAAACAGTTCCACTGCCAAAAAAACAGGTTCAGGCAACCATGTCCTGTTTTTCAGGGACAACCTTCTACATTAGTCACAAAAACATCAGTTGTCACTTCAGCACACTCCCAACCCTGGATTCATGCTCCAGTTTCCCTACACAGACATTCTTTCTTGGTGCTGGAGCAGCTGTGTTCACAAAGCACCTCTTCGTGCTGGTGTGTTAGCACCTTGGAGCCCAAAGAGATGGTTGTGCCTCCGGACCCTCTTGTGCACCTTCTGTGCCAAAAACGTGGCTCACAGCACACCTGGCAGAAAGTCATATTCCTAGCTGCCCATGCCATAAAACTGCCGGAATTGCACTCGGTGTTCGAGCACAATGTGTAAACAGGGCTGCAAAGGCAGGTATCATCAGGCAAAAAGGTGAGCCTAGCCAAACATTCGAATTTCATACACGATGTGCCAGCCTGCCATCCCTCCCTCGCTACCCCTCTGCTAGCACAGTCACACAACCACCGTCCGCTCCACTCCTCATCTCCCCAGCTACGCTCAAAATCGCGAGGAGGGGTGGGAGGCAACGCCAAGTCCAACCTCAGCGGCGTGTGTTTGCAGGATAAATTCTTTGGTGAAGTCAGGACTGTGCAGTGTCACTTTAGAGCATGTGTTTTACTGGGGTTCCTCAAAGGCACGCTGTGCATGCCAAGACTCAATGCGCTTACATATTAGGTGGCCTTGAATTTCGTGGGATGCATTAGAGACAACAGCATTAGAAAAACTAGAAGCATCTTATCTGTAACATGCAGCTAGCCTAAAAATTGGACCCCAAGTCTTCTAAGAAGACACTTGGATTTCAATTCCCTGTTCCCAAAAGGAAAACCTGCGCTTCTTGTCTTCACTCTGTCCCTGGCAGGATTAACAGCTAATCTGGCTTCTTCCAGAGCCTAGAGTAACTCTGATCAGAGTTAATCTATGACGTGATACGGAGGTGGCTGCAGCAGCTTGCTCAGGACGCATTAAAAAGCAGCTGGTGTACTGTGCGGACCAACAACTGTCAAGCTGTTCAGCCAGGGCCCCACTTTTCTTCTGCAGTAGTCGTTATCTTTGGACTGGCTGCCCAAAATAACATTCCAGAGATTGCTCCAGCTTGTTCTTCACGTATCCTGGGATGAAATTCATCAAGCTCAGCTGATCTGAAGTCATTCAACCAACAAGAGACGTGAGATGAGGTGAACCAGAAATCAGGCTTTAAACATACATAAGGAAAATGTTAGTTCACTACCCAAAGAGGAAAAGCTACTGATACAAGATGTTAAAAAAATGATCTATTATCCTTCCTCTAGGAAAAATAAAAAGGCAATGTAGGAGCAGGTGGCAAGCATAATAAATACCAGTGCAAAAGGGATTTGGAGGAAAGACCAAGTTTTTTAAGTATATATAGTGTTTTCAATCTGTTTGACTAACCTCACACCAAATTGGTCAGAGATCTCCAGCTGTTTCAAAGTAGTTATCTTACCCTGTTTGCAGAGAGCAGGTGAGCCTGGCAGACCACAAATGTTAAAATAGAGCAAAACTGCGTGGGTTACTACAGACAATATATAATTTCACTGTGCAGGAAACACGAATGGTGTTGTCTAACAGCAAGACAATTTCAAGACTGAAATCCTGCTGGATTTGTACTGAAATACTTCCAATGATTTCAGTACAAGTTGGGTCAAGCCCTTGGTTTAAAAATATGTGACTGCATTTAAGAAAGATTAACAATACATAATGATCATATCATATTAACTAAGGTCATTGTAATAATTTCCTTTAGCTGAGTTAATCTCTGCTTAACCCTCTGGAATGGCATTCCAGAGGTTTGTGCAAACCATACTCAAAACAAGTCCTTCAAAAGCAGACTCTCTTTATTAATGTTTTTGACCACATCTCTCTAGCAGGAAGCCTTTGTGGTTCAACAGATCCTGGTGCACTCAGAGGTTTAAGGATGTATTTGGAAGAGAAAGAGCCAAATCACATTCATCTATGTGTTGACAATTGCACAGTCGAGGAGTTCAGTTGCAAATAAACAGAATTTAACTGAATCAATCTCAAGCTCAGACAGGATGGTAATTTTTATTGTAAATTACTATATTGACAATAAATAGGGCAATGATTGATGCTATGGAAGAAATGCTTTAAACAACAGAAAAAGAATCTAGAATGTAGGCCAAACTACAGGGCATTCGAAATAGAAAAATTCAAAATGATAGCTCTGGGTAGAAAAGATAGTGTGAAACAGATCCTCATATGCAGGGCCACACCTAGAAAGATGGCAAGAGGAGAAGGGCAGGAGGCTAAGTGCACATTCGCAGTGATTTACAACAAGGAGGCCAATACTGTGCTCCTCCTTTCCCTCCTTTCCCTTACCCCACAAGCTGCAAAGCACTGATGCCATCCCACCTTCCACATTTGTCACCTGCACTTTGCACAGGGACGCCTTGTCCGCAGTGAACACATCCGCTCTGACTGCACGATATTGCTGGTGTTCCCCGCTATCGCATCAGTCTTCTCACGGTTGTCCCCAGTCCCGTGGCAGGCTCTGGGAACCTGACACAGATGTTTGCCCAGCTAGCTTAGAGGATCTCTGTGGTACCAATGCTACAACACCAATAAACCCCAGAGCACGTCATCGCCATGGTACAGATAAACCCCAACACTTGCAGCACCTTGTGCCACTGATATTTCTGCCTCTCCCCAGCACCATCACCTCTGTGCACCTTGCACTGCATGAGACCAACACCCTTATCCCTCCTAGGGTGTGCTAGAAATATCCCTGTGCACAAGAAACCAAGGTTTGAGTGCCCCTATGATCCCCCTTATTCCAGGATGTAACTAACTCTGCATTCCTCACTGCTCCATGATGCCCACCAAGACATCGGTACCTCCATCCCGGAGCTGATACTCTCCACTGACCCAGAGACTTCAAATCCCTTGTGCTCCTCCATACCATTGCTCCTTACAAATGCCCTTGCCATGATGCTTTAACTTCCATACCCATTTCCTTCATAACTATGACTCGAAGGTGCATCAGAGGATGTTCAGACTAGATATTAGGAAATATTTCTTTACTGAGAGGATGGGCAAACATTGAAGCTGGCTTCCTGGAGAGGTGGTCGATGGCCCACACCTGTCAGTGTTTAAGAGGCATTTGGACAATGCCTTTAACAACATGCTTTGACTTTTGGTCAGCCCAGAAGTGGTGAGGCAGTTGGACTAGATGATCACTGCAGGTCGCTTCCAACTGGAACATTCCTAACCTATCCTATTCCCTTTACCCCACAGCATCACTCAGCTCCAAAGGACCGGTAGGTACCCTTTTTGGTCTCCAATAAACCCAGCAACTTCCCCTCCCTGGTAGTGTCAATACCTGACTGCTCTCCTTTGCATCACTGTCACCGATGTTCTCCAGGATCTGCTCCTAGCCCAGTGGCACTGACTCCCACTCTTGCTCCACATCAGTCTCCCCGTGTCCTGCAGGGCCAATGCCCTCCCAGGAGCTGTCAGAGCACTGCATAGTCCCAATGACATTACGCCCAGGGGAACTGGTCAGTATTGATCCCTTACACCTTTTCTCCTCTAAATAAGACAACAGCAAGGTCCCTTTTATCCCTAGAGAATAAAGCATTTCCTTTTCTACCCCACACCTCACTGGATTTATATTCTGTTATGCAGTTGGAAGATCTATGACGTTCTTACGTCAAAGTCCACCAGAACTTCCCTAGTCCTGCAGCACATACAGTTACACTGCCCAGTGTCTCCACGTCCTGTGATGCTCTGATAGCTTTCCCTACCCTGCTTCAAAAGGCAGTAGCAAACCCCAGCTGCTCATCACTTTTGTCCATAGATACCAGTGCTTTTTCCACCCATTTAATTAATTTATACTCTTCGCATGATGTCTTCATGCCCCATTCCTTTGAGTATTAATATTTCGAAGTGCTCCTTCCACTCACACACTGAAATCTCTCCTGGGACCCAAAGGTAACAACAATCCCCTCAGGCTCCAGGCCTGGCAGTGCGAGCAGATGGGCAGACCCCAGGCCCTTTGTGCCTCAGTGTTCCCCATTGTAGTGTTTATACCTTCTCCACTGGGTGCCTCTGAGACCCCTTTCCTCACAGCACGGGCTGTGCTTGGTGCACACTGAGGTCTTCCATCTTCCGGTCGGCGTCTCTCCCTGCGTCCCACTGAATCTGTTACCCTCTCCACATACCCTATGGAGTCTGTACTCCCCTCTCTTTCCACTGTCCCCCCTGCAGTGCTGGGGCCAGCTCGGGGGCCCCCAACAGCAGAAGGACCCGGAGCTGCTCGAGCGGGGCCAGAGGAGGCCACGGAGATGCTGGGGGGGCTGGAGCAGCTCCCCTGGGAGGCCGGGCTGAGAGAGTTGGGGGGTTCAGCCTGGAGAAGAGAAGGCTCCGGGGAGCCCTTCGAGCGGCTTCCCAGGGCTTAAAGGGGGGACAGGAGAGGTGGGGAGGGACTCTGGGTCAGGGGGTGGGGGTAGGACGAGGGGGGATGGGTTTAAACTGAAAGAGGGGAGATTCAGACTAGATCTAAGGAAAAAATTCTTCCCTGTGCGGGGGGTGAGGTGCTGGCCCAGGGTGCCCAGAGCAGCTGTGGCTGCCCCCTCCCTGGAAGGGTTCAAGGCCAGGTTGGACGGGGCTGAGAGCCCCCTGGGCTGGGGGCAGGGGGCCCTGCCCGGGGCAGGTGGGCTGAAATTAAATGATCTTTAAGGCCCTTTCTAACCCAAACCATGCTGATTCTATGTTGTCCCACTGCATTTGTAACCCCCTCCCCACGCCATACTGCATTTGCCCCCTCGGTGTCCCGCCACATTTGCCCCCTCGAGCCCCACTGCGGTTGGACCCCCGCCCCGACCCGAGGCCTGCCCACCCCCGTGTGCCCCACGCTGTCCCACGGGGGATCCCTCCACGCCCGTGTCCCCTCAGACCTCGGGCAGCCCTCAGGGCCGGGCCGGGCCGCCCCTCACCTGTCTCCTCCCCTCCCGCGGATGGTGCGGCCTACTCCTCCCGCACGGCCGCTTTCCCGTCGCTATGGCAACCTCGCCCCGCCCCCGGGTGGGCGCCGGCCAATCAAATCCTACCAGCGGCGGGGCAAGGCGGCCGGAGGCTCCGATCTACCTAGCAACCTGCTCGACCCGTTCTGATTGGTTTGTTTGCTTCGGCCGGGAGAGGGGGCGGGGCGCTGTAAGGGCGTGGCGGCGCCGGGGGGGGGGCGGGGCGTAGGCACGGGGCGGGGCCGGGCGCTGCGGCGGGGTCGGGCGCGAGGAGGCGCGGCCGCTGCCTCCGCCGCCACCTGAGGGAAGGAGCGGGGCCAGCGCCGGCGGGACCCTGCGCTGAGGTAACGGCGGGGGCCGGGGTCACTGGGTGGGGCGGGATGGGGAGATGGTTTCCCCTCAGGGATGTCGTTGTTTCACCCCCCCACCCCACAGCGCCCGCCTCGCTCGCCGGGGACGGAGACACCAGCTCCCGGGGACTGCGCTGTGGGGGGGGTGGGGGGCGGCCATGAAGCGTCCTCTGGGCGGGGGAGTGAGATGCAGCGGCCGACCGAAGGGCAGGGGATGCTACTCCTGTCCTCCGCCGAACGACATGGAGGTGCTGGATCCACCCCTTCTCCCTCAGCAGCGCCTCGGGGCCGGGAGATGCTGGTCCCCTGCATTCCCGCTCCCTCCCCCACCCCCCCCCCCCGGCCCTTGCCGGTGTGCTGGGGAGCCTGTAGAAGGGCGATGCTCGTCCCATGCATTTCCCCTCCGTTCCCATCAGGGACCCAAAGGGAGGGGAAGCGAATCCCAAGTACTCTCCCTCCTTCTCCTCGCAGTGCACTGGGGACCCGGGAGAGAGGGATGTGAGTCCGTGGGCACCCTCCCTCCCCCTTTTTCTCTTTGCTGTTGGTGGATCCGAAAGGAAAGGGAACGCGCTGCCCCGCTTTCCCCCATTGGGGACCCGAGGAGGAGGGGGTGCCTTTCCCCGCTCTGAACACACACCCCTTTTCTTCTGCAGTGCGTTGGGGACCCAAGAGGTTTCGGGTCCCGCACTAACCTTCTTTCATGTTGCAGTGCGGTAGCTGTGACCCAGGAGGAAAGGGATGCTAGTCCCATGCACACCTCCTTCCCCCTTTTCTCTTGGCAGTGCAGGAGGGACCCAAGCGGATGCTAGCTCTATCCACACACTCTCCTTTTCCTTTTGCAATGCAGTGGGGACCCAGGGTGAAGGGGTACTAGACTTACGTGTCTATATATCCTCCCTTTTCCTTTGCAATGCAGCAGGAATCCAAGAGGATGCTAGTCCCGTGTGTGCACTTGTTCCTTCTGCCTTTAAAACACAGTGAGGATTCAAGGGGAAAAGGGATGATGCTAGTTCAGTCTGCACTCTACCTCCTCTTCCAAGCTAAGGGATGATAGCTAGCTCCCCCTCCAGTTCCTTTCGCTTGGCATGCAATATGAACTCAAATGGAGAGAGGTGCTAGACCTGTCCCTCCATAATTGTGAAGAATCTCACCAGAAAGGGTTTCTGCCTTTCTGTCTTCCCTGCAGGGAGTGGAGCAAGGACTGTCATGGTGTCACTGCGGAGGGAGAGGGGGAAGAGAAGATAGTGTGTGTGTTTCCTTATTCTGCCCTGTAGTACAGCAAGGAGGAGCATGGAAGAGTGTAGCATGTGCCCTCTTTCCTCCATGGGTTCCTAGTTGAAACTGAGGATGTGGGGGATTATAGTGTGGTTTTCCCTTAATACGTAACAGAAGTGGAACAGGGGAGTACAGCACTGGAGTTTCTTTCCCACTGATTAATTAAAATGGAGTTGGGAGAATAATGTATTCTCCTTTTGTTCCTTCATGTGGGTGGGAATGGGTTGGGGAAATGCTGCCAGTGCTTGTATGCAATGAGTGAGTTCCCTGCCTTTCTCCCTGATCAGAACTGGGTGGGGAATGACTAAGGTGACATTCTCCTCTTGTCTTCTCACTTGCATGGGAGGAGCCTAGCGTGTTGTTTTATCACCCCAATTTCTCTGGGACAGATAGCAGTGAATTAATTCACCTACATAGTTTCTTTCTCAAGTCTGATGACGTTTTTTTCTCATTGCCCCCCTCTCTTATTGTCCCCTTAGTAACTTCAAAAATTATTTAAAAAAAAATATATATTCACTTGCGGGAATCAACCCTTTTAATTTCATGATTTTCACTCTCTAAGTGTCATCTATGGATGTCTTAATTTATCCTTTGGAGCAGGAATTGGATGGGCTTCTGATGATTATAAATAATGTATAAATCTGTAACCACACTAACAAACTAGCTGTTTCCTACCCCTTTTGCCCACAACTTTTTTTGCAGTGCCTTGGGGTAGATGGCTAGGTATCCCCTCCTCCTCTTTTATCCCCAGTGTCATTGAAAGTGTTTTGTTTTGGTTTTATATCCATATAAAAATAACCACAAAATTTCATATGTAGAGGCTTAACAAAGAGTATACAGAACTGGATCTGTGGTAAGAAACTATCTTGACACTAAAGATTGCTTATTACAGCATTCATCTGTCTACACCAATTAATAGCTCATCTATATGCTCGTTTGCAAAACTTTCATCTCCTTTCGCAATGATGTAGTTGTCTTTTTTCTTAATTTCACCTAGATTTTTTTTTTTTTTTCCCATGAAAAGGCACTGCATGACTAGACCATATAATTTGGTATTCTTTTCTGGCTCTAGTAAATGTATTCTTCATTTCCTTTATGATACTATATTGTAATAAGATCTTGAGCATAAAATGGACAAATCCTGAAAGGTTACGATGAATTTTTTTTCCACTTTTTTGCACAGTTAAAACTTTTTGTGGCTTATTGAGCCAAGATTTTTTGCATGCTTTTTCAGTTTGAGGTTGTGGGGAAGTCAGAAGATGGGTGGATTTGTTTAGAGTCTCTACTTTGAATGTCATTAATATGATGATTTGTGTGAAGTGTTCTTGGAGTTTTTCCCAAGACTCTAGATCCTGACCTGGATTTGCCCAGTGTTTGTGCTTCAAACTTTAGCAGGATAACTGGTGTGAGTATGGTTCATCTTAATGTTGCTTCTAAACCTCTCTTATGAAGCATTATGTACTGATTAATGCTGGAATGGCACCTGAATTACAGGGAGCGTGCTAAAAAGTCAACTGCTAATCCACACCAAAAGTTGGCTTCATGAAGTTGTTGAATAAAGTCTTTTGGAGTTGGTGGCCAAAGTGTTTGGAGAAAAAGAAAAAAAGTAATTGAAGCCAGTGTTCTGGAGATGACAACAAACTGAAAAGGCTTCTTTTCCTGAGTTTGGGGAACTACTATTAAAATGTTAAAATCAAAGGCCTAGATTCAAAGGTACCTTGGACAAAACTAAGTAGGAATTGGTTTTGTCTGTCTGTAACTTGTAATCTTTTGGTCAGGTTCTGAGAATATGCAGAAGTCTTCAGGGTTAAGTAATGCTGCCTGGAAGATGGGATAGTTCAGATCTTTGGGGGTTTTTTGAGAGGTGCTGAATTCTTAAGAAATAAGTCTGAGAAATTACTTCCTTAGATCAGAAAGACAAAGCTTTTCAAGGCCATATGGACTTGAAATTGGACTAAAATCAGATGTGGTTAGATGTAGCTTGTCTTAAATATTGTGGCTAATTTTGATCTTTCAAAATCAGTGTGTTGACTGCTGTTCACAGCAACACTATCTTGCTTCAGAATATAAGTCAGAGGCTGTGATTTGAGCTGTGTTGGTTAGTTCTACCACCTAACTTAAGATGTAGATATCTCTTCTGCCTTTTTTTCCGTTCATGTTTTATTTTTCCTAGGTTTGGAACAGTTTTACTATTTATATTCTTTATGTATTTTAGTGCTGCTTCAAACATGGATTCCCTGTCAATAGCTGTGAGAGAGTAAGCAGCCTGTGAAACCAAGTTGTCAATGAACTTAATTTAACATGGTTATGTTTAGCATCTTGGTCTTTTTCTTATTTGCATGTTTGTTTTTACCAGCCTGTCTTGAACAGCTACAGCCAAAAACATTGCCACACATGATTTTAAAGAGAAGCACAGAATTGTTTAGGTTGGAAGGAACCTCTCAAGATTATCTAGTCCAACCCACAAAAGTATATGAGGGTTTAAAGAGATATATGCTGTTTAATTTTTCTGACCATAAGATGGGCCTATGTAAACAAAAGTGTGCATACCTAACTTTTTTGATCTGCTGATACCAGTAGAAGTCTGGTAATTAACTCTTTCGTATCTCTCACGAAGTTTGCATTAGGGACAAAGAAAAACCTTTTTCCCTCTCTGATGTGTAGAAAGTATTTCCCTTCCTGAATACCTAAGGAAAAACATTACTCTCTCAAGATTAGAAGTCTCTCCAAATTTGTGATTGCCTAATCTTGGCCATATTGATGGAGTGCTTGGGGTTTTCTAATTCAAACAGAATGTATAAATTTGTTACCTTTTTTAACTATAATTTTTAAAAGCAGTTGGTTAGAGACAGAATCTTGCAAATTTCATTGCTGTAAGACAAAATTGTTAGAAGAAAAAGGCCTCTTTGTACTCTTATGGCTCTGTCAACTTTTTCCATGCTTTAGCCTCCAATTTCAGAGTTTGTTTCTCCAGTTGATGAGCCCAATGTGCTGAGTCCCTGTTCTGCTCATTCCATTCCAGCCCCTTAGTGCTGAGAAAATGCAGATCCAGCCCTGGGGAACGATTGCTGTTTAAATTGGCTCTATGGGTAGAGTGGAACTGGCAAAGCAAGGATATGTAGCTACCTCTGCAATTTCCATCTTCAAGAGTGTGTGGAGAAGGGGGTGATCAAGACTGCTGTCTTCTGGCTTATACGTAGCTGTTATGACAGTGTCTGGAGAAGAAGATGTGAGATACGTGTGCAAGTAAAATGGGGTAGAGACAACAAAAAAGCTCTTTACAACTAGACTAAAATCATATCTTTGAACACATGTAGCCAAAGCATGACTGCAGCTTGTTAGGCAGAACTGTAGTCTTCAGTCCTGCAAGTTGGGACTTGTGTATTGGTGGTGGTAGTGACTGTTTTGTTTTTGTTTTATAATTATTCAGCAGAA